CTCTGGATAAGAGCGTCTGCTAAATGACGTAAATGTAACACAATACCCCATAATGTCAAAGTTGAATTATTATTTATTTTTTTACAAATTAATAAAAAATGTAAAGCTTAAATGTCTTGAGTCAATAAGTATTCAACCCCTTTATTATGGCAAGCCTAAATAAGTTCAGGAGTAAAAATAAGCTTAACAAGTCGCATAATAAGTTGCATGGACTCACTCTGTTTACAATAATAGTTTTTAACATGATTTTTGAAATACTACCTCATCTCTGTAGCCCACACATACAATTATCTTTAAGGTCCCTCAATCAAGCAGTACATTTCAAACACAGATTCAACCACAAAGACCATGGAGGTTTTCCAATGCCTCGCAAAGAAGGGCACCTATTGGTAAATGGGTAAAAAAAATAAAAGCAGACATTGAATATCCCTTTGAGCATGGTGAAGTTATTAATTACACTTTGGATGGTATATCAATACACCCACTCACTACAAAGATGCAGGCGTCCTTCCTAACTCAGTTGCCGGAGAGGAAGGAAACCGCTCAGGGATTTCACCATGAAGCCAATGGCTACTTTAAAACAGTTACAGAGTTTAATGGCTGTGATTGGAGAAAACTGAGGATGGATCAACAAATAATAATAACAACATTGAGAAAAACAACATTGTAGGTACTCCACAATACTAACCTAATTGATAGAGTGAAAAGAAGGAAGCCTGTACAGAATACAAATATTCCAAACTTGCAACAAGGCATTAAAGTAATACTGCATAAAAATGTGGGAAAGCAATTAACTTTTTGTCCTGAATACAAAGTGTTATGTTTGGGGCAAATTATTATTATTATTTTTTTACATACGCTCTTATCCAGAGCAACTTACAGTTAGTTAGTGCATACATCATTTTTTATACTGGCCCCCCATGGGAATCGAACCCACAACCCTGGCGTTGCAAACGCCATGCTCTACCAACTGAGCTACATCCCTGCCAGCCATTCCCTCCCCTACCATGGACGAATTGTTCGCCGCCCCATGGGTCTCCTGGTCGCGGCCAGCTACGACAGAGCCTGGTTTCAAACCAGGATCTCTAGTGGCACAGCTAGCACTGCGATTCAGTGCCTTAGACCACTGCGCCACACATTACTGAGTACCACTCTCTATATTTTCAAGCATAGTGGTGGCTGCATCATGTTATGGGTATGCTTGTAATCGTTAATGACTTGGGAGTTTTGCAGGATAAAAAAGAAACAGAAAGAAGCTAATCACAGGAAAAATCCTAGAGGAAAACCTGGTTCAGTCTGCTTTCCACCAGACACTGGAAGATTAATTTACCTTTCAGCAGAACAATAACCTAAAACACAAGGACAAATCTACACTGGAGACATTGAATGTTCCTGAGTGACCGAGTTACAGTTTTGACTTAAATCTGCTTGAAAATCTATGGCAAGACCTGAAAATGGTTGTCTAGCAATGATCAACAACCAATTTGACAGAGCTTGAACAATTTTGAAAATAATAATTAGCAAATGTTGCACAGTCCAGGTGTGGAAACCTCTTAGAGACGTACCCAGAAAGACTGACAGCTGTAATATCTGCCAAATGTGATTCTAACATGTATTGACTCAGGGGGATGAATACTTATCTAATCAAGATATATTCGTGTTTTATTTTTCATAAAAATAAAAAAAATTATTCCACTTTGACATTACAGAGTATTTTGTGTAGACTGTTGACAAAAAATGACAATTAAATCTTTTTTAATCCCACTTTGTAACTCAACAACATGGAAAAAGTAAAGGGGTGTGAATACTTTCTGAAGGCACTGTAAATAACAAATACTCAAATACGGCTTCGGTGTCTAGACCAGCCTATTATCACCAGACAGAATGTGTTTGATATTATATTGTAGGATAATGTAATATTGTGTACAGTAAGGATATTTTAAATGTATTATAGTATTGTACTGTGGTGTGATTGTTGAATGTATGTTTGGATATTTCATGTGTCTTAATGATTATATTCCAATGTACAGTACTGCTGTAACCCTGTGAGAAGAACCTATGACATTCTTGTGTGAGAAAACCCAATAAAGTACATTTCATAATTGAATTTGTTTAAATACTCAAATACGCATGTATTTGAACCCAGGTCTGGTGGACGCACCACCTGAAGATTGAAGTATAAAAGTGCTGTTGTCTGGACCTTTTGCTCCCTTTTGAGAGGAATCAATAAATATTTTTCAATTTTTTTAAGTTTGTGTACCCTGTGATCTCTGTGTGCGACACATTAATAAATGTTTCGATTTTTGTTGTTTGACACTTAAACTTAAACCTCCAATAGTACAGTCGTATGAAAAAGTTTGGGCACCCCTGACAATTTCCATGATATCCATTTATAAATAATTGGGTGTTTGGATCAGCAATTTCATTTTGATCTATCAAATAACTGATGGACACAGTAATATTTCAGTAGTGACATTAGGTTTATTGGATTAACATAAAATGTGCAATATGCATCAAAACGAAATTAGACAGTGCATAAATGTTGGGGTGCATAAATTTGGGCACCCCAACAGAAAAATCACATCAAAATTTAGTAGAGCCTCCTTTTGCTAAAATAACAGCCTCTAGACGCTTCCTATAGCCTCTAATGAGTGTCTGGATTCTGGATGAAGGTATTTTGGACCATTCCTCCTTACAAAACATCTCCACTTCGTTTGATGGTTGCCGAGCATGGACAGCCCGCTTCAAATCATCCCACAGATTCTCAATGATATTCAGGTCTGGGGACTGGGATGGCCATTCCAGAACATTGTACTTGTTTCTCTGCATAAAATGCCCGGGTAGATTTTGAGCAGTGTTTTGGGTCGTTGTCTTGTTGAAATATCCAGCCCCGGCGTAACTTAAACTTAGTGACTGATTCTTCAACATTATTCCCAAGAATCTGCTGATATTGAGTGGAATCCATGCGACCCTCAACTTTAACAAGATTCCCAGTACCGGCACTGGCCACACAGCCCCACAGCATGATGGAACCCCCACCAAATTTTACTGTGGGTAGCAAGTGTTTTTCTTGGAACGCTGTGTTCTTTTGCCGCCATGCATAACGCCCCTTGTTATGACCAAATAACTCAATCTTTGTTTCATCAGTCCACAGCACCTTATTCCAAAATGAAGCTGGCTTGTCCAAATGTGCGTTTGCATACCTCAAGCGACTCTGTTTGTGGCGTGTGTGCAGAAAAGGCTTCTTCCGCATCACTCTCCCGTACAGCTTCTCCTTGTGCAAAGTGCGCTGAATTGTTGAACGATGCACAGTGACACCATCTGCAGCAAGATGATGTTGTAGGTCTTTGGAGGTGGTCTGTGGGCTGTTTTTGACCGTTCTCACCATCCTTCGCCTTTGCCTCTCCGATATTTGGACTTGGCCTGCCACTTCTGGCCTTAACAAGAACTGTGCCGGTGGTCTTCCATTTCCTCACTATGTTCCTCACAGTGGACACTGACAGCTTACATCTCTGCGATAGCTTTTTGTAGCCTTCCCCTAAACCATAATGTTGAACAATCTTTGTTTTCAGGTCATTTGCGAGTTGTTTTGAGGCCCCCATGTTGCCACTCTTCAGAGGAGAGTCAAAGAGAACAACAACTTGCAATTGGCCACCTTAAATACCTTTTCTCATGATTGGATGCACTTGTCTATGAAGTTCAAGGCTTAATGAGCTCACCAAACCAATTGTGTGTTCCAATTAATCAGTGCTAAGTAGTTACAGGTATTCAAATCAACAGAATGACAAGGGTGCCCACATTTTTGCATAGCCTATTTTTCACATCTGATTTAATTTCATACAACTTAATATTGCTACACTAAAAATCTTTGTCTGGACAATACCCCAGTACTCAGCTTTTATTAGAAAATGAATGGCATGCCACTGTGATCATTTTCTGTGACGACAGAGTAAATTGTTATGCAGCCTCAGAGGGGTGCCCAAACTTTTTCATACGACTGTAGTTGAAAATAGCAGGCAAATTGGTTTCTTTAGCAAATATCTATTCTTTAGCCCTTTATTACCTGGTTGATGGCTCCAGCTGACTGGTTGTTGAATGAGGTGTCACAGTACTTCCTAGGGATCCTGGGGTGCCCTTTGTGCAAAGGATCTTTACCACTCTGGTGGCTCTGAGCCAGATAGTCATACCTACAGTTTGGATGTCTCTGTGGTGCTCTCTGGCCATCTGTGCAGGGGCCAAATAAAGCACACCACAACAATAATCCCCATACTCCTCCAAACCAGCAAACAGTCCCTTGTGTCATTTTCATACGTCTGCAAGAGAGCAAAACTATCTCCCTCACTGCAGAGGAGCTTGGCTGTGGGAACTATGATACCTAAATACCTAGGAGCTCCTCCCTCTGTAGCCCAGGGCCAGATAGAATGCCCCTATAAAGATAGACTGGTATACCTACAGGAAGACTGAGCATATTAGTCTGTTTAGTTTGGTGTGAACATGTTGAGGTTCAAAGATCACTTGGGTACCACTCCCTTTTCTTCAGAGGTGTTTGTGGAGCAGTAAGTTGGCATGGCATAGATAGTATTTGTACTGTGTACCAAACGTCACGCTTCACAATTGTAAAACTATGGAAGGTGTAACCATATGAACCAGGTGAACTGGATAACAATATAATACAAGGAAATCAAAAACAATCTAGAGTCTAGCGTTGCTTACACACTGATTATGTTCCCACGCCTACGTCGCCTCCTGCAGACTGTTTGACATTCTGGCAGATTGAAAGGGCTTTCTCAAGAGGCCTCGCTGTGCAAGGATATACCTTCAAAATTCAACACAAGCAATCAGATACCTTGATGCACAATATCTAGTGCTATATCCAGTCCTGTATTCAATGCTATATCCAAAACTTTCAATAGTAACATCAAAATTCTGGACCAGCCTGACACAGTCGGTCGAAATCGAAAAAAACAATCGCAGTCAAATGTCAATTCAATTTAACTTTATTCTCTTTCACAGTGCAATACGGCCATAGCATTGCTCAGAGTAATACAGTATAGAAGACAGAATACTTGGCACCATCACCCCCACAAATAAACCAAATCAATATTAACCTCTGACAACCTATCCAACACCAAGATGATGTGTTCTGTCTCTGACACTTTATCACTTATATGGTTCATAAAATAGGATACAGAGCGTAGCTTGCGATGCCACAAGTGTTGCTGCCATTCCGGATCATTCGCATGTAGCCACTCTCTCCCCATGCAGTACCCCAGCTGGGAAGAAAAGGAAAACAGGCATACATTTATGTACAACAAATGTCCTACATATATGTATATTAAAAAGTAACCCAACTATTATATTTTGTTAGAATGTAAACCATGTCACTCCCGTCTGTGATTCACCCACCTGTTTTTGATTATCCAATAGTCTTGCCCCCCTTCAGAGCCATAGCCAACCAGCAGCACCGCATGACTGAGGTTGTTGGGGTTACAGCTTGGCTCCTCATATATTCCTGTTTGACCAATAATAGCTCTGGTTACAATGAGGCAAGCTCAGATAGGGCAAATGCATTTTTTTTAATGGAATTAAAAACCTTTAACTGGACTATCAAAGTTAATATGTACAGTCATGGGAAACAAAACACTACATTTAGCTGTCTACCACCTTCAAGGAATTCAGTGAAGACCAACCTGAACTGTAGAACATGAAGCTTGGGTGATCTGCATCCACAGCGATAGTGATTGGACCAATGGTTGCCACAGCGTCAGCCAGGGCCTGCTCATCTCCAGTGGGTATGAACATGTAACCAGTGATGCTGGCAACCGACTGACTGCTGTCGTAGAAACAGGGTTGGGTGTCCTAGAAATACAGAAAAGTGTTTTATCCTCAACCATTGTACTTCTTAAATCATCTTTATTTTAACAGGGAAAAACAGACTGAGACCTGGATCTCTTTTACGGCTGTATATAAGTTGCTATTAACATTATGTAACATTGGTGTACATGGTCAGGGATGTCCCCAGTCAGACTCTTACCACTGATGTGTAGGGGTAGGTGTCTGTGGACTGAAGCCCATTCTGAACCACATATTCATAGGCATTAGCCATCCAGGCACCACTGCAGCCATAGGTGCCATAGGGCTTGGAGCAGTCCACAAGGTTCTGCTCACTCAAAGACACCAGCTGACCTGTCCTCTTGAATATCTGTCCCTCGATGGCCCCCGTAGTGCTAAAGGCCCAGCAGGAGCCACAATAGCCCTGTGAGGAGAAATCAATAGACAGTGTGGATTTAAAATCCCTTCCTAGTTTGGACTGAAATTCTACTTCCAGAATTTTCTAAAGAAAAGCCTCACCTGGTCTTTGACTTCAGTGACATAGCCCGTGGATCTGTAGTCAACGGTAACAGACCCTAACTTCTGAGCACTGGCACGGAGCTTTCGAGCGGATGCATTCGTCCCTCCTCTCTTTATTTTGCTATTTATCATGGCACCTTGCAAACGCTTGTATTCGTGCCTTGTCTACGCATTGAAGACAGAGAAATTCCAAAGTGATTTAGAATGAAATGTATAAAGGAATCAATGAAAAATGGGAAAATACTGTTTCAATACACTGCAATGAGAACAATCTCTCATAATGTATACAAATGAACAGAAATTAGAACAGAAATGGGAATGTTGCAGCTCTCAGTTGAAATTGCTCAAAGTGGATCATGAGTATCCATGAAGTATCTTGGACTATAACATCCTGTACTAAAGAGAAGTGAAGATGATGATGGCCACTTACCAGGTCCCCATATTTATTCATGGCCATGGTGAACATCTTTGTCCCTCTGAGAAAACGGTTATTATTCTCATCAATCACTCTCATGTTGTTCTCCCATATGGCCATCCTCTCAATGTCATCCCGCTTCAGGAAAGAACAGAATGAACAAACAAATAAAGTAGTTGATTATTGTTACGGTGTGTGTCTGGGAGGGATGGAATGAATTCCTAAATGTTTACAATGCGTCTTCATGTAGGCCAATATGCAGATGAATAGCCTACGTCTACAGTAACTATTGGGGTGTGTTTGTTTATACAGTCTGTGTCTACGAGTATGTGTATAAAATAACATCTAACCTTCTCGTCGTAGGACACACCGTTGCTCCTCTTCCATGTTTGCCACTCTGATGGCCCCTGCACCTCCTCATCTGAGTCTGATGCCACGTGGAGAGGATCAGACAGGAGGAGAGAGAGCAGCACAGCTCTCCCCATGTGGCTGGCCCATTGGACTGGAGCGATGGATGATCAGAGTACAGTATTTCACCAAATGTATTGTGTTCTGTTGTAAATTACTTTGCTGCAATTTATACAATATTAGATAGAGAATTCTATGGAAACACTATAAATGCTCTGCGATTCTGAATGTTATGTTATTAAAACAATGAAATCATGAAAGGAAATTAGGCTAAATGAATGTCAATAACCTGGCACTCACCTGATGGAAAGTTGGGCTGTCTTGTCTTCATGTTCTGAGACTAACTCCACACTCTGACCGTGACTGGTCATCACCCCCTCTTTTATTGCCTGTGATGGAGGGTGTGCTACCCTTGGGCCTGTCTGAATCCCCATCACCTACACACAAGAGGGAGGTGGCAACAGGGGACAGAAACCCTCTTATTAGACAATCCCAGGCAACAGACTGTAAACACAGCATGTCACTATTCAAAGTAGCCCATATCAGTTTTTTGGTACTCATCACAAAAACAGCTTAGCAGTGCCAAGAAAATATGATAGCCTACTCTATATACAGCTCATCTCTAAAAACCTGCCAATTACAAGCTTACAACTAAATAGTAATCAAAACAACTTCTACTTACACAGGCTACCTGCAATTATGCACCCTGATATTTTAGTGATACACTCTTAGAAAAAAGGGTTCCAAAGGGGTTATGTGGCTGTCCCCATAGGAGAACCCTTTTCGATTCCAGGTATAATCATTTTTGGTTCTATGTGGAACCCAAAAGGGTTCTACCTGGAACCAAAAGGATTCTACCTGGAACCAAAAAGGATTCTCCATAGGGTTCTCCTATGGGGACAGCCGAAGCACCTTTTTTCAAAGAGTAGGCTGTACTGTTGTGTAGGTCCAGGAACCCATTGCATCACTGAAGCTTGAATGACCAGCATATCCCACATGAAAAACTACTACAGTTTACTATAGAATACTACAGTACTTACTATAGAATTCTATAGTAAACTGTAGTATACTGTAGAATACTACACTACACACTGTAGTATCCCTTGATAATGTGTAGTACTTACTATAGAATGTTGTATTATACTGTAGAATATTACAGTAAATACTACAGTATTGTCCAGAAAAAAACACTGAGTAAATCCTACAGTAATGTCCGCAAAAACACTACACTTTTTAAACTATATTAAATACTACAGTATTTCATTTGCATATACCCTGCCCATTCTCCTCCCCTATATCACAATTTGTGCCACCCATAAGTGAGAAACCTACATGCCAAGTATACACCATATTGTGTTCCCTAAAGGTTATAGAAAAGAGCAAAAGCTCTGAACTATCTGTTCAGACCCCAGTCCGACCGACCGACCGACCGACCGACCGACCGACCGACCGACCGACCGACCGACCGACCGACCGACCGACCGACCGACCACAGGAGTTTGGGCTCGTGCTAATGGTTTGAGCGGAATCATTTGCTCTGTTCCAGACATTATTATGAGCTGTCTTCCGCTCAGCAGCCTCCTGTGCTACCTACAGGTTATGGAAAATGTGCTCATTTAGTATTTCTCCAGTAGGTATCCTGAAGGAGAACGCCTCCACTTCTATGTCAAAGATAATAAAACAAAAACACTATAGTAAATACTACAGTAATGTCCACAAAAACACTACAGTAAATACTACAGTATACTACAGTCTGCAAAAACACTACAGTAAATTCTACAGTATACTACAAGCTGCAAAAACACTGCATTAATTACTATAGTATATACTACAGTCTTATTTGACCACAGTATTTATATAGTTAACTGTGAATACAACAGTATACTACAGTAAATACTGCAGTGAATACTATAGTAAAGTCAGCAAAAACACTACAGTGAATACTATAGTATTTAAACCATAGTATACTATAGTATTTTTTCATGTGAGTAGTCATGTTTCTTCTCCGTCCCAAAGTTTGTCACAAACTAATAATACCTTTGAAACAGCTGGGTGCAGTAATAGCTGCTCAACATCCAAGAATGCAGGGTAGCCTGTGTCACAGCACAGACACTACTGTAAGATCTACTGTAAGATCCGAGTAGGGGAGCGCCAAAGGGGTAAATTGAGCCACCATTGTTTCTAGGAAACCATACAATTAACCGTTTGACCAAATACTTAGGAAGAGGTCATAATTTCATGGAGTCTGTGAAGGAAGAAACCACATGGAAAAAGTGTTAAGCTTTTAAGTTAGGTCCAATAAGTTAGGTCCAAAAAACGGATTTTCCCCAAGTCAAATGAATATGTTAGAGGTTTCATGATGCTTGTATCTAAAGCAAAGTAGATCATTTTAAGATTGCTCTATACATCAGTTGGGATCTCTATATGCTTCAATATGAGGTCCTAAACCTACAAAAATATATCCGTAGCTGTGTGGGCTAATACAGGGGTGTAGTGGTGACTGGAGAAGTGGGTATAGTCTACTTTTGCCAAACAATGTCCAAACGGCTCCACAACAATGCTTAAACCACATCAGGAGGCCATTTTTTTTGTCTGGGAAAAATCCCCCAAAAATGTGGAGAGTGTAGTTGCCCTTTTATTCAGAACATTAGCTGGGGTAAATTGTGCCCCCCATACACAGGTTAAGTTGTGACAAGAGAGCACTTTTTCTCAAAACTATAATGTTTACATAAATTCTGATTATTTCCAGGGATACACAACATCCTGAAATATATGTTGATATCTTTGTTAGAAAAAATACTATATTTCCCTCGACAGAGTGATACTGAATGTCTAAAATGGCTCAATTTACCTCACTCTCCCCTACTACAGTTGTATGGCTGACTTTCTGGAGTTTAGGGGCATTAGGAGCAAGGACTGGATTAGGGGTGTTAGGAGCAAGGACTGGATACGTGGATGGAGTCAGATAAGGTTATCCAACACAATGAATGCATTGGCCAATAAGAAAACATAATTAGTTACCAGGTAAATAATTAGGTAAACACAGTTCTTTCCTCAAACACAGATTCACCACATTTTAGCAATATGTAGGCCTACAAATGCTATATAAATGAATTAATTAGTCAGGACTATAATCCTACACTACCTCGAATGTAACAAAACCAGATATAAAATAACAGCCTATTTTGCCTCATGATAAACCAACTACTACCCCACAAAATGAAACGGTAATAGAATCGAACTCGTTTCATTTGGTTGAACGAACGACTCCAAGGAATCGTGACAGTGAGCAGACAGAGCTGCAGCGGTCGTGACTCGCGGCACTGCAGAGGATTGGCAGCGTGTTGTTTTTCCAACGGCGCGCCGACACCCCTGGAGCAGTCAGTGTGGCAAAACGAATTATAGCCAGTTATTACAGTTAAACCCATCGCAATTTTTTTTGCATACGCAAGAAATATGAGTCACGAATGAGGTCTGCAGGATGTCGTTAAAGGTAATCTCCACGTTCTCCTGTTTTTCTGCATAGGTAGCTGAGTTGACTCAACTCCACGGTATATAGATATCCATATTACAGGGATCTAAACTAGAGCTACAGCTACTACTGCATAGGCTAACTCTAAACAAGCTTGGAATGAATCTACTCACTACGAATGCTTACTTTCTTTGCGGCCATGGCTTCTAATCTGTGCTGTTATGAATAGGCCTATGATGAGTTATGCGCACGTAATAGACCGCAGTGGCTTGCTCGCAATAATAACGTCTTTAAGGAAATTAGATCTGCTGCTTGACCTTCGAGTTCAAAACAACTAGGAACTTGGAAATCTCCGACTTCTGACTTCACTGGGTTGAAAACAACAGGGAACTTGGAAATAAACCAGCTCTGACTGGGAAAAATCGATTTGAATGGTCATCCAACTCGGGCCTCTTTCTAGAGCTCCGACTTTCCGACCTGAAGATCACTGACATCATGATTTGACCTCGTATTTTCCGAGTTCCCAGTTGTTTTGAACGAGCAGTTAGTCATGCCCTTATGACCTGACTAACGTTAGCCACCTAGCCAAAGTTAGCAACAACAAATTGGAATTCGTAACATATCATACGTTTTGGAAATTCGTAACATATTGTAATATTTTTCACAAATTTGTAACATATCATAACAAATGGATGATGGACATCCACAAATTAGTACAAACAAAACTAAGGCGTCTCGGATTTACATACAGAATAATACGAAATGCTCTGAGACCAGATGGCAGTGACATGACAACCTAATCATAGCTAGGTTAGGGGAAGAGTTAGCGAAAAGGGTTAAGGTTAGGGTTAGCCAACGTGCTAAGTAGTTGCAAAGTAGCTAAAAAGTAGTACGTATTTGAAAAGTTGCAAAAATTATAAAGTTGTCCGTGATGAAATTCAGACACAACCTTTGGGTTGCTAGACGTTTGCGTTATATGCCCACCGACACACCCACTTTTTATTGTCTGTGTAAAATTTACCCAGATTCATTTGGACCAACATAAGTGGGTGGGAGCTAGACTCTTAGAGACCACACACAACCAGACCAGAGACCATATAACCACAACATACCCAATGCAAGAGCATAATCGATGTGGGCAAAGAGCCTCTGTCCATATTGATTCTCATATTGATTGTGAACAGGAAGAGCCTGAATGCAACTCATTTGAAATGGTTTTGTCTATAACCTCCATTGTCTGACCAATACAAGCAAAGAAATTGCTTGCCAAATTTTGCCTTCTGAGATGATACTGTAGATAGTGTCTTTTAGTCTGGTTACAGGTCTGTTATCTGACACGTGTCTGTTGTATCATGTGTGTTTGTCCTGCAGAAGGAGACGCCCCTGGCTAACGCTGTGTTTTGGGCAGCTCGGAAGGGCAACTTAGCCCTGCTTCAGTTACTGCTCAACAGTGGCCGAGTGGATGCCGACTGCAGAGACAGTGTACGGACGCTGCATGCCCTGGCGGCTCAGCTGCACGCTTTACCTATAAACCACCTGTGGTAGGAGAGAAAGAGAGAGCTACAACTTGTGTGTGTGTGTGTGTGTGTGTGTGTGTGTGTGTGTGCGCGGTTGTATGTATGTCTTAATAATGTGTTGTAGGTCCGCTCATGTTCAGGTGCTTGCAGTTTCCATGTGTCACATCTAATTGTTTATTGTTGTGTGCTATTTGAAATGTAATGCTATGTCAAATCTCCGCTGATAAGTTCAAGTATGTTTCAGCAACTTTCTTTAGAGATTAGGGAATGTGAATGATTGGGTGGAGCATCAGACTAGGGGTGGTACTTTGGAGGGGTGTGTTATGTTGTCTGGAGGAGAATCAAAACACTTGCCAAACAAAACAAAACATCTAGACCTCCAGGTTTATTTCATGTGCAGTTTGAATGACATGTAGACAATGATCTGACTGGACTGAGGTGTTGATTGATTGTGATGCCTTGATCTCTTTCCAGTTTGGCACCACAGCCCTGATGGTGGCGTCCTACAGTGGCCACGGTGACTGTGCCAGGGAGCTGATCATGCAGGGAGCTGACATTAACCTGCAGAGAGAGGTACGGTAGACTCCCACTTTAGTACACCTCGCTGTCATTATAAGAAATACCTTGGTTTTAGTGCTGACCGTTGATAAACTGCAACCATCTGCTTTTCCATAGAGTACACAGTACGGCGCCTGAAATGAGCGTTGCATTATTGATGTTGCTTTGAGACTAAAGTAGAAACAATAAGCAGTAAAGATGTTTGAAGCGTTGAGAAAATGTGTATGTCCTTTTAAGGTCTTTCTGACATTGAATGCATGTTTCTACAATCAGACAGGCTCCACTGCCCTCTTCTTCGCTTCCCAGCAGGGACACAATGAAGTAGTGAAGCTCCTCTTTGAATTTGGTGCCTCGACTGAATTCCAGACAAAGGTATGAGAGAGAGAGAGAGAGAGAGAGAGAGAGAGAGAGAGAGAGAGAGAGATGAGGAGAGAGAGAGCGAGATGAGGAGAGAGAGAGCGAGAAGAGGAGAGAGAGAGAGAGAGAGAGAGAGAGAGAGAGAGAGAGATAGAGAGAGAGAGAGAGCGGATAGAGAGAGAGAGCGAGGACGCCGATCTCGCTCTCCGATCCTTACTCGGCACGCTAGAGGCGAGCAGCGAGAGATATCTCTATAGAGATATGTCCTCTCTCGATCAGCGCTCGCTCGCTTCTCTCTCTTCTCTCTTCCTCCTCTTCTCTCGCTCTCTCTCGAGAGGCCTCCGAGGAGAGGAGAAGAGATGAGAGAGAGAGAGAGAGACACTGCAGGATATGTGGCTAATCTGTTGTCATGGTTTGGCAGGATGGTGGCACAGCCCTCTCTGCAGCCTGTCAGTATGGCCACTCTAAGGTGGTAGACACTCTGTTGAAGAATGGAGCCAATGTTCATGACCAGCTGCATGTGAGCATCCCTAACACCTATCTCATCTCACTATGTCTGTCCTTTTCCCACACTCCTGCAGAGCCCCACAGTGTCCAATGCTGTAGTCCACAACACACCAAAATCCCAGTGGGAGACCCTCTCAGGTTACCGCTAAGTCAGACATGAGATGCATTTTGTTTTATGCACCACATAGAAAGGATTGGATTGCTCAGTGTAACTATGTTACATGTTTGTATGAAAACGATACAGTAAGGCTTACATGAATTTCAACACAGTAGTGATTCTCTGCTCACTACTAGTTCTGATATTGGTGATTGACAATTGTGTGTTTTTTGCCTCTGTGTCTCTCCTTTCTATAAGGCAGATGGCCCATCTATGACCCCTGTCATACATACGATCCATTGTACCCACAACAGTGCCATTCTATATGTTACTATTCATGAACAAGCCATACATTGCATAACTTTGTCATGCAGTTGCTTTGCTGATGTGACATGTTTCTAATATCATGCTCAGGATGGTGCCACCCCACTCTTCCTTGCTTCCCAGGAGGGGCATGTGACTGTCATACGTCAACTGCTGTCAACTGGAGCCAAAGTTAACCACCCTAGGGAGGTGAGGCCACTCCCCCATACAATAATAGAGGACTTCATTAGAGGGACTGACTTCTTCATCTCTCTTCTCACCCTCTTCCTGCTTGTATTTTCTCTCCATTTCACTTTTCTCCCTTCTCTTTCTCTCACCCCCTCCCTCACTAACCCCCCTCTCCAGGATGGCACAGCCCCCCTGTGGATGGCAGCCCAGATGGGACACAGTGAAGTAGTGAAGGTTTTACTTCTGCGTGGTGCAGATCGGGATGCTGACAGAAAAGTATGTTGTCCTTTAGCAACCCAGTGGGTACCCAGTGGGTTGACGAAGACAAGATGATTGTCCTCCATCAATATATTCAATCAAGTCATGTATTGAAATGGATTTATTTTTGTAAGGCTTATTATATATTGAATGGGGAATTAAAATGTCAATGTCTCATGTTTCTTTTGATCTTATTGAAGGACGGGTCAACTGCATTATTCAAGGCAGCTTTCAAAGGACACAACAGTGTCATTGAGGAGCTCCTCAAGTTTTCCCCTTCAATGGGCCTTCTCAAGGTAAGATATCTAGGCAGTGATGCTTGCTCTTTGTCGTCTCTTGACTCTGGCCATGACCCAGAGGAGTAGTTTTTATTCAGAAGTACACTACCAGTCAAAGGTTTGGACACACCTACTCATTCAAGGGTTTTTCTTTATTTTTACTATTTTTTACATTGTAGAATAATAGTGAAGACATTAAAACTATGAAATAAAACATATGGAATAATGTAGTAACCAAAAAAGTGTTAAACAAATCAAAATATATGTTATATTTGAGATTCTTCACATAGCCACCATTTGCCTTGATGACAGCTTTGCACACTCCTGGCATTCTCTCAACCAGCTTCATGAGGTAGTCACCTGGAATGCATTTCAATTAACAGGTGTGCCTTCTTAAAAGTTAATTTGTGGAATTTCTTTCCTTCTTAATGCATTTGAGCCAATCAGTTGTGTTGTGACAAGGTAGGGGGGGTATACAGAAGGTAGCCCTATTTGGTAAAAGATCAAGTCCATATTATGGCAAGAACAGCACAAATAACCAAAGAGAAACGACAGTCCATCATTACTTTAAGACATGAAGGTCAGTCAATATGGAACATTTCAAGAAGTTTCTTCAAGTGCAGTCGCAAAAACCATCAAGTGCTATGATGAAACTGGATCTCATGAGGACCACCACAGGAATGGAAGACCAAGAGTTACCTCTGCTGCAGAGGATAAGTTCATTAGAGTTACCAGCCTCAGAAATTGCAGCCCAAATAAATGCTTCAAAGAGTTCAAGTCACAGACACATCTCAACATTAACTGTTCAGAGGGGACTGTGTGAATCAGGCCTTCATGGTCGAATTGCTGCAAAGAAACCACTACTAAAGGACACCAATAATAAGAAGAGACCTGCTTGGGCCAAGAAACACGAGCAATGGCCATTAGACCGGTGGAAATGTGTCCTTTGGTCTGGTGTCCAAATTTGAGATTTTTGGTTCCAACCGCCGTGTCTTTGTGAGACGCGGTGTGGGTGAACGGATGATCTCCTCATGTGTAGTTCCCACCGTAAAGCATGGAGGAGGTGGTGTTATGGTGTGGGGGTGCTTTGCTGGTGACACTGTCAGTGATTTATTTAGAATTCAAGGCACACTTAACCAGCATGGCTACCACAGCATTCTACAGTGGTACGCCATCCCATCTGGTTTGGGCTTAGTGGGACTATCATTTGTTTTTCAACAGGATAATGACCCAACACACCTCCAGGCTGTGTAAGGGCTATTTGACCAAGAAGGAGAGTGATGGAGTGCTGCATCAGATGACCTGGCCTCCACAATCCCCCGACCTCAACCCAATTGAGATGGTTTGGGATGACTCGGACGGCAGAGTGAAGGAAAAGCAGCCAACAAGTGCTAAGCATATGTGGGAACTCCTTCAAGACTGTTGGAAAAGCATTCCAGGTGAAGCTGGTTTAGAGAATGCCAAGAGTGTGCAAGGCTGTCATCAAGGCAAAGGGTGACTATTTGAAGAATCTCAAATATAAAATAGATTTTGATTTGTTTAACACTTTTTTGGTTACTACATGATTCCATATGTGTTATTTCATAGTTTTGATGTCTTCACTATTATTCTACAACATAGAAAATAGTACAAATAAATAAAAACCCTTGAATGAGTAGGTGTGTCCAAACTTTTGGCTGGTACTGTATATTGTGAAACATTGTATTGTAAAACATTGTCAGTGTTTTAGTGAAAAGAAACAGCCATTAGTTACAAGTGGCCTCACCATTCCATTTCTCCAGAATGGTTCCACAGTCCTCCACGCTGCTGTCATGGGTGGCAATCATAAAAGTGTAAAACTTCTGCTCGGGGCCAATGCAGACCCCACGCTACCCAACAAGGTAAATCACAGCAGTGTGTACAAGGGAGAAGAAGAAAAGCAGAGGAGAAGGATGCATTTTAGGATGTCGTTCGGGTTGATTATTTTGTAATGACTTGTTTTGTTTTCTTTGCAGAACAATGAACTACCAGCAGATCTTACAAAGAGTGATCGCATCCTGAGTGCTCTGCGACCGCAAATCTTAAATGGAAGTATATGATGAAACCCTAGTTCCCACCTTAGACCATGGTTGTTTTATGGAGAGAAATGCGCTGAGGGCTCCGAACAACAGAGAACAAACCAACAGGATTCAGTCACACTACAATACTTATGGTTCTTGCTTTCATTTGCAGCTTCAGAAAATACAATGCTATTTGGAGTAACCGAAACTGGACATATCTATGAGGATGGTTCAATATGTAGCCTACTACCAAAATGCATCCGTTTGTGGCTAGAGTTATTTTGCCATGTACATCCTTTCCTTTGAGGTGTTGTTCTAACTTTGCTGTATAGTTTCTGTTTCTAAAATATTTTATCCCTGGTGCTGTAATATTTCTAAATATTTTGCAATTTTTTATTTCTGCAATTTCAATAAAAGATTAATGTGAAATAAAAAAATAGTCCTGTGACCAAGTCAGTAATATGCTATAATAACAACAAGTCACTAGAGGTCAGTGTACTTACCATTGGTACCAGTGATCTATATAAACCCTGGATTTGCTGATGCTACGTATTGGCCATTGACAGACTTTGAAGCCACCGGTCGGCCATATTGGCACTCCTCAGTAGGAGTAGTCCTCCATAGGAATGAATAGAATTCTACGGTATTTCAATTAAATGTTTCAAGGACAAAATTACATGTATTTAAGTATGTTGTTGTTGTAGTGGGCAAAGTAACATTAGTAATCTCAAAAAATTATACTTTAAGGAAAATGTTTTTATATATGTAAAGATTTTGTTTAGCTCACATGATATAATTTTTAAGTATGCATTAAGGTGTCTGTAATAGAGTAAATGTGGCAAAAATGAATGTAGACGTTAATAAATCAATTTCTATAGTTTCCCAAAAAAATTACGACAGTTGGGGAGTGCCAAGATGGAGCCACGACGGCTTCAACACAGTGCCCTCAATAGTCATCTAGTGTATATATAAATCACCAAGAAACTGAATCCATTAAAATGTGTCTGATCTTCTTTGTCTGACCTTATTTCTCGCATATGCAATGCGCATACATTTTAAGAATAGGCTGTGAAATTGACCGCAGTAAATTGACAATGATGGGTCGGAAAAAGCTCTCGTCTCTTTTTGTGTTGATGTCACGTGTACACCATAGCCGGAAGTGACACTCGATATCTTGATGCGGAAGAGATTAATAAGAACTGAAGAACTGTCACCAAAATGACAACAAAACTAACCAGAGCTAATAACGTCGTATTATTGCTATTGCACGTTGATCTACTGAGACGAGTGACATTTTACGGTGTGTTATTTTGACCATCGTACGTTACCAGCACCCATGGCTAATAACAATTTACAGGTGAGTGAATGTCAAGCTAGAGACAACAACAAAATTAATCAGTTAGCTAACTACTGTAGCTAACACATGATTGTATCGTTAGTCTACTGTGGGTTCAGATGCCGTGATTATAAGTTTTGTCTAGTTAATATGACTCTTGACCCAAAGTATTTAATGAATTCGCATCAACTAAGTGTGTATGATTACTGATCATCCATTTACTAATGCCATTTTGACATACCTTTGTGACATCTTGCGGAACAAGATCATGACGTCATGCTAATGCCCTACCCTCTCCTGTTATGGATCTTCTTTAACATAGCCCCTGCATTGTGTTACAGAAAGCAATAGATCTTGCAAGCAAGGCTGCAGAGGAGGACAAGGCTAAAAACTACGAGGAAGCTCTCCGGTTGTACCAGCATTCCATTCAGTACTTCCTTCATGTTGTTAAGTGTGAGTTGTCTTGTATCTCAGTTCAACTTCCTGTTACTTCTGTTTCCAAGTTCTTCATTTGCATTTATACTGCAAACACAGAACATCCACATAGGCTACTTTGTTTTTCTGTTCACTTTCATTTACTGATACAGTGGGGAGAACAAGTATTTGATACACTGCCGATTTTGCAGGTTTTCCTACTTACAAAGCATGTAGAGGTCTGTAATTTTTATCATAGGTACACTTCAACTGTGAGAGACGGAATCTAAAACAAAAATCCAGAAAATCACATTATGATTTTTAAGTAATTAATTTGCATTTTATTGCATGACATAAGTATTTGATACATCAGAAAATCAGAACTTAACATTTGGTACAGAAACCTTTGTTTGCAATTACAGAGATCATACGTTTCCTGTAGGTCTTGACCAGGTTTGCACACACTGCAGCAGGGATTTTGGCCCACTCCTCCATACAGACCTTCTCCAGATCCTTCAGGTTTCGGGGCTGTCGCTGGGCAATACAGACTTTCAGCTCCATCCAAATATGTTCTATTGGGTTCAGGTCTGGAGACTGGCTAGGCCACTCCAGGACCTTGAGATGCTTCTTACGGAGCCACTCCTTAGTTGCCCTGGCTGTGTGTTTCGGGTCGTTGTCATGCTGGAAGACCCAGCCACGACCCATCTTCAATGCTCTTACTGAGGGAATGAGGTTGTTGGCCAAGATCTCACGATACATGGCCCCATCCATCCTCCCCTCAATACGGTGCAGTCATCCTGTCCCCTTTGCAGAAAAGCATCCCCAAAGAATGTTTCCACCTCCATGCTTCACGGTTGGGATGGTGTTCTTGGGGTTGTACTCATCCTTCTTCTTCCTCCAAACACGGCGAGTGGAGTTTAGACCAAAAAGCTCAATTTTTGTCTCATCAAACCACATGACCTTCTCCCATTCCTCCTCTGGATCATCCAGATGGTCATTGGCAAACTTCAGATGGGCCTGGACATGCGCTGGCTTGAGCAGGGGGACCTTGCGTGCGCTGCAGGATTTTGATCCATGACGGCATAGTGTGTTACTAATGGTTTTCTTTGAGACTGTGGTCCCAGCTCTCTTCAGGTCATTGACCAGGTCCTGCCGTGTAGTTCTGGGCTGATCCCTCACCTTCCTAATGATCATTGATGCCCCACGAGGTGAGATCTTGCATGGAGCCCCAGACCGAGGGTGATTGACCATCATCTTGAACTTCTTCCATTTTCTAATAATTGCGCCAACAGTTGTTGCCTTCTCACCAAGCTGCTTGCCTATTGTCCTGTAGTCCATCCCAGCCTTGTGCAGGTCTACAATTGTATCCCTGATGTTCTTACACAGCTCTCTGGTCTTGGCCATTGTGGAGAGGTTGGAGTCTGTTTGATTGAGTGTGTGGACAGGTGTCTTATATACAGGTAACGAGTTCAAACAGGTGCAGTTAATACAGGTAATGAGTGGAGAACAGGAGGGCTTCTTAAAGAAAGACTAACAGGTCTGTGAGAGCCGGAATTCTTACTGGTTGGTAGGTGATCAAATACTTATGTCATGCAATAAAATGCAAATTAATTACTTAAAAATCATACAATGTGATTTTCTGGATTTTTGTTTTAGATTCCGTCTCTCACAGTTGAAGTGTACCTATGATAAAAAATTACAGACCTCTACATGCTTTGTAAGTAGGAAAACCTGCAAAATCGGCAGTGTATCAAATATTTGTTCTCCCCACTGTATATGTGTGACTGAAATTATTATGACCTTAGACTTTGGAATATAACTTTGAATGACCCCATTAGGAGCTATGGATAAACATAAATCATTTCTTCAGGAAACAGCTTTAACAGTTTTGTTTCACATTGAATGACCCAAGTGTGAAGATTACCCAGCCTTGGACATAATGTGATGACAACCTGTGTTACATTTCCTCTTCCTGCAGATGAGACCCAGGGAGACAAGGCCAAGCAGAGCATCAGGGCAAAGTGTGCAGAGTACCTGGATCGAGCAGAGAAGCTGAAGGAATACTTGAAGAAGAAGGATAAGGCCCCTCCAGCCAAGCCTGTCAAAGAGTCCGGCTCTGATGATAAAGGGTGAGTGAGCATATGGAATCCTGAGATTCCTGTTATAATCCTCACCAATCCTTCATTCTGATCTGATTCTTGGTTATTTTGGACTGTGTTTATACTTTTTGTGTGTCCCTTAGGTGGGCCTCCTTATCAGTACAGTGAGGTCAAACTACTTTGCCTTTTATTTTGCAGGAATGACAGTGATGAAGGTGAAGGTGACCCAGAGAAAAAGAAGTTTAAAAATCAACTCTCAGGTCAGTTATATCATCAGCTACTTCACTTTTCAGCATTTTTAGTGTGGCTCATACAAAGCTTTGATGCAGCCCTGTGACACTGAATCTGTATTTGATTTGTATGATAAAAAGCGATATTCGCCGTTAGGAGTGTGAACATTTAAACGAAATTGGGATCATTAACGTTTACAAAAATCCCTAACCAAAAAACGATGTTCACAGTGCAGTTATCACAAAACTACCACAAACCGGTCCCGATCATCATCATAAAGGGGAACAAATAAAAATAATGAATACTTAACCCAACAATGCTGGAATGTGAGTAGGAGGAGAAATGCTTCTTTCAAGTTATTTCCAACAGATATAAAGCACTCCACACATCATCATTGTTAACAGTTAGACAAATGTCAGGTGAGACAGGGAAGCGACAGCAGCGAAGTCCTTTATGGCAATACTTTAAGAATTTAAATGAGAAGGTGGTGAAATGCAAACTTTGCGAGATGGAATTGAGCTAGTGCAGAGGCAGAACAAGTGCAATACTAAAACATCTGAAAGGGAGACAACATGACCGTGAGACCCAACCCATTGCTGGCAGCAACGCAGGCCCCCAACAACAGACATTAGAAAGGCTCTTCACATGAAAGAAGTGTGATAAGGGATGGAGTGAGAAAATCACAGCGCTGATTACAGAAATCATTGCAGTTGATATGCAGCCATTGTCAATGGTACAGAATGTCGGCTTCAATGCCCTGATGGCATATCTAGAACCAGACTACAAGATTGTACAGTGATTGTACAAGTTGTACAGTGAAATTGTAAAAAAATCATTGTACAGAAATTGTACAATAATTGCTCTGCAAGTACAACGGTCGAAATCTCAAACACCATACGTGGCGTTAGCAACAGATTGTTGGACGTCTATGAACACGCTGTCATACATCACTGCAACGAGCCATCACCTAGATGAGAAGTGGGACATGAAGTCCCATGTACTAACCACTGAGAACATGGAGGAGAGGCACACAGCAGAGAACCTAAAGATGGCGTTAACTACCTTCGTTGTTGAATGGGTGGGGGACAGCAGTAAGGTGAGCGCCGTCTGGTAGCCATGACTGCGGTAGATTGAACTGCATTGCCCCCTAGCGGTCATACACAGGACCATGTCTGCATTGTGAATTCACATGTCATAAACATGTTTAAACAGAAGAAAATGGCACTTTAAATGTTAAGAACATTTGTACATTTGTTACATCCCTATTTGCCGTACTACATTTCACCGACTTCTATCTATGTTACAGGGGCCATCGTCATGGAAAAGCCAAACATCAAGTGGAATGATGTAGCTGGGCTTGAGGGTGCAAAGGAGGCCCTTAAAGAAGCTGTCATCTTGCCCATCAAATTCCCTCACCTCTTCACAGGTATGGATTATGGAATTCATGCAACACATAACATTCTAGATATTAACACACGTATTGTGACTTGCAGCAGTGCATCTGAAGAGTAAATCGTTTTCCATAAAGAATAACTGAGTGTATTTGTCTTTGGTGGCCAGGAAAGCGAACTCCATGGAGAGGGATCCTGCTGTTTGGCCCTCCTGGTACAGGGAAGTCTTATCTGGCCAAGGCTGTGGCCACAGAAGCCAACAACTCCACCTTCTTCTCTATCTCCTCCTCTGACCTGGTGTCCAAGTGGCTGGGGGAGAGTGAAAAGTGAGTGATGGGGCAAGGAGGGTGGGCAGGTTGCTATGCAATCAAATCAATATAATATTTTAAAGGATATTGCTCATGCATACCTATCTCTCTCCTTCTCCTCTGTATTCTTCTCCCACACCGTCCATTGGTCTCATATCCACTCTCCACAACTCTTTCTGTCTTCAGGTTGGTGAAGAACCTGTTCAGCCTGGCCAGGGAGAATAGGCCCTCCATCATCTTCATCGACGAGATAGACTCTCTGTGTGGATCCAGGAGTGAGAACGAGAGTGAAGCAGCCCGCCGCATCAAGACTGAGTTCCTGGTCCAGATGCAGGGTGAGAGAGCCTGCCACCAGGCTGACAGACTGTACAGTTTACACAAAGCCTGGCCTCAGATCCTGTTTACCTTGTACCTTGAGTATTGACACAACTGTTTTGTCCACTATGTCATTTGGCACTGAACCTTTTTGTTGGTGTCACCAGAACAACTAAACTACAATATTTTTGCTAGATTTTGGCTTTCCGTTTGACTGAATCAGCTGTATATTTAAATAATTCTCTCTCTTCTCCCAGGTGTTGGAAATGACAATGAGGGAGTCCTGGTTCTAGGAGCCACAAACATCCCCTGGACCCTGGACTCTGCTATTAGGAGAAGGTCAGTGTATATTTATCTTCTGATGATCTCAAGTCCTTTATCTTATTGTGAAGATGTATTATTCACAATTTTTGGACCAAGTGCCTCTTATTAAACAGATTGTTAAACCTTAGAGATAAAGAATGGGATGACCCTTGCTGCATCACCATATGAACATTCCCATATCAGATATCACTGTCGTGTTTCTGTGCCTCAGGTTTGAGAAGCGGATCTACATCCCTCTGCCTGAGGAGCACGCCCGCTCCTTCATGTTCAAGCTGCATCTGGGCTCCACCCCCAGTGAGCTCACTGAATCAGACTATGTGACCCTGGGTAAGAAGACGGAAGGCTACTCTGGAGCAGACATCAGTGTCATCGTAAGGGACGCCCTCATGCAGCCAGTCAGGAAGGTGCAGTCGGCCACTCACTTTAAACGGGTATGTGACAGTCTGACATTCAACAGGGACAGGGCTCACCTAGGTGCAGTGAATTTTAATTGATTTAGTTTTCATCATCTGATAGTTGTGAAGGAAGCATTGAGTCATACGAATGCTCTGTCAATGAAACATCAGCAATCACAAATCCATGTCCCATTTCTGCCCATGTGTTCTCCTTCATACACCCAGGTCCAAGGGTCATCATGGAACCATCCCAACCTCGTGGTAGACGACCTCCTGACCCCATGCTCACCAGGAGATCCAGACGCCATTGAGATGACCTGGATGGATGTTAATGGGGAGAAACTCATGGAGCCGATTGTTTGCATGGTAAGAAGAACCCCAGAAATATATATATTTTTGGTTTTGAACATGAGGGAGCAAGTATGTGATGCTAACTGACCCTTGTGATGTGCTGTTCACAGGCTGATATGCTGAGGTCACTGCACAACACCAAGCCAACTGTGAACGAGCAGGACTTGGACAAGCTCAAGAAGTTCACAGAGGACTTTGGTCAGGAGGGCTAACACTCAACCAAATAATGCAAAAGCAACTTTCCTTTCTCATATCCTTTTCCTCCACTGGTTCTCAGGCCTGTATTTACTACTCTACTTTCTCTCCACAAGTAGCAAAGGGGCTTCATGTTTCATGTATGTTTATTTGTTGACTTATTTTGTTAGTTGCCAATACATACCCATAGTATAATATTTTTTTGTTTTTTTTACAAAGACAGATAAGGTTGAAGATGGTGATGGTCTCAAAGAATATGGATTCAAGCAAAGTATTTATAATTGATGGTTTAAAACACTAAAGTGTCTGTTTTGGCCTTGATGGCATCAAACAAACAATGCATGCTATTGTGCATTACAGTAACTACTCCAAAAGGCCTTTACTCCTTTAAGTGCATCTATGGTTTGACAACATGGATGAGGATTGCCTGTTTTGTTGTACTGTAATGTGTTAGGACCTTGTTTACCAAGGTTTTCTCTTTTTTTTTTTAAATATATCATTTTTCTTACCAAGAAGGGCTATGTCTGTGATTTTGACTCTGTTGATGGAGCAGCACTCATTGATGAGGACCATAACTACCAGCAACTTTAATGATTACAATTTTCTTTCATCAGTTTTCATGTAGAGTATATTCATATTGTTTTTCTGTATGCTGTTTTTGAAAGAAGATGTTAGTCTGAGTGCCTTGCTGGTCAAAAGAAAGTAAAAGTACTTTGGAATGGGTTGGTGGGGGTATGTCATAATGTAATAAAACCCAATGATTATTGATCTTGAAGGGAAATCAGTAATTGAATGAGCAATAATCCTTGGTCAAGTGTTTTTAGACCCCTTAAATTGTACTTCCCACATCTTTGCACACTTCAAATGTGTTGTACATGTTGTGCCTTGAAAAAGAATCAATGTATATCCTCTCTCACTTCCCACTATAGCCAATGAAACTTCAGATACCCTATAAAAAAACACATATTCAGACAGTTCCTTACTTGGTAATGATTGTGTACAGCTGTGTTTCTAGAACTTCAGACTTTTCTTTTCAAGAAAAAAAAGTATAAACCTCAATGTACAGTAGTCTTTTATTTTCTCAATTGAGCAGTTTACATATTGTCTGGTAACTGGGGTGAGGTGAATAGCATTGAACAATGCTAAGGGAGGGGTTTGTCTTCATAAGAACAATCATTATGTATTCTTTTGACAATACTATTAACATCTATGACTGTGGGTTTTCCTAGAATTATGTATTCAGGATTGTTTTCTGGGATTTTCCAGAGGTATCCATTCTGTTGTGTTCTAATCTTGAACGTATATGTACAGTTGAAGTCAGAAGTTTACATACACCTCTGCCAAATACATTTAAACTCAGTTTTTCACAATTCCTGACATTTAATCCTAGTAAAGATTCCCTGTCTTAGGTCAGTTAGGATCACCACTTTATTTTAAGAATGTGAAATGTCAGAATAATAGTAGAGAGAATGGTTTATTTTAGCTTTTATTTCTTTCATCACATTCCCAGTGGGTCAGAAGTTTACATACACTCAATTAGTATTTGGTAGCATTGCCTTTAAATTGTTAAACTTGGGTCAAACGTTTTGGGTAGCCTTCCACAATAAGTTAGGTGAATTTTGGCCCATTCCTCCTGACAGAGCTGGTGTAACTGAGTCAGGTTTGTAGGCCTCCTTGCTCACACACGCTTTTTCAGTTCTTCCCACAAATTTTCTATAGGATTGAGGTAAGGGCTTTGTGATGGCCACTCCAATACCTTGACTTTGTTGTCCTTAAGCCAATTTGCCACAACTTTGGAAGTATGCTTGGGGTCAATGTCCATTTGGAAGACCCATTTGCGACCAAGCTTTAACTTCCTGACTGATGTCTTGAGATGTTGCTTCAATATATCCACATAATTTTTGTTCCTCATGATGCCATCTATTTTTTGAAGTGCACCAGTCCCTCCTGCAGCAAAGCACCCCCACAGCATGATGATGCCACCCCCGTGCTTCACGGTTGGGATGGTGTTCTTCGGCTTGCAGTAGCCCCCTTTTTCCTCCAAACATAACGATGGTCATTATGGCCAAACAGTTCTATTTTTGTTTCATCAGACCAGAGGACATTTCTCCAAAAAGTAAGATCTTTGTCCCCATGTGCAGTTGCAAAACGTAGTCTGGCATTTTTATGGCGGTTTTGGAGTAGTGGCTTCTTCCTTGCTGAGCGGCCTTTCAGGTTATGTCGAAATAGGACTCGTTTTACTGTGGATATAGATACTTTTATACCTGTTTCCTCCAGCATCTTCACAAGGTCCTTTGCTGTTGTTCTGGGATTGATTCACACCAAAGTACGTTCATCTCTAGGAGACAGAACGCGTCTCCTTCCTGAGCGGTATGACAGCTGCGTGGTCCCATGGTGTTTATACTTGCATACTATTGTTTGTACAGATGAACGTGGTACCTTCAGGCGTTTGGAAATTGCTCCCAAGGATGAACCAGACTTGTGGAGGTCTACACAATTTTTTCTGGGGTCTTGGCTGATTTCTTTTGATTTTCCCATGATGTCAAGCAAAGAGGCACTGAGTTTGAAGGTAGGCCTTGAAATACATCAACAGGTACACCTCCAATTGACTCAAATGATGTCAATTAGCCTATAAGAAGCTTCTAAATCCATGACATCATTTTCTGGAATTTTCCAAGCTGTTTAAAGGCACAGTCAACTTAGTGTATGTAAACTTCTGACCCACTGGAATTGTGATACAGTGAATTATAAGTGAAATAATCTGTCTGTAAACAATTGTTGGAAAAATTACTATGGTTTGTTAACAAGAAATTTGTGGAGTGGTTGAAAAACAAGTTTTAATGACTCTAACCTATGTGTATGTAAACTTCCGACTTCAACTGTACAGTGAGGGAAAAAAGTATTTGATCCCCTGCTGATTTTGTACGTTTGCCCACTGACAAAGACATGATCAGTCTATAATTTTAATGGTAGGTTTATTTGAACAGTGAGAGACAGAATAACAACAAAAATAATCAAGAAAAACGCATGTCAAAAATGTTATAAATTGATTTGCATTTTAATGAGGGAAATAAGTATTTGACCCCCTCTCAATCAGAAAGATTTCTGGCTCCCAGTTGTCTTTTATAGTAACAAGCTGAGATTAGGAGCACACTCTTAAAGGGAGTGCTCCTAATATCAGTTTGTTACCTGTATAAAAGACACCTGTCCACAGAAGCAATCAATCAATCAGATTCCAAACTCTCCACCATGACCAAGACCAAAGAGCGCTCCAAGGATGTCAGGGACAAGATTGTAGACCTACACAAGGCTGGAATGGCCTACAAGACCATCGCCAAGCAGCTTGGTGAGAAGGTGACAACAGTTGGTGCGATTATTCGCAAATGGATGAAACACAAAATAACTGTCAATCTCCCTCGGCCTGGGGCTCCATGCAAGATCTCACCTCGTGGAGTTGCAATGATCATGAGAACGGTGAGGAATCAGCCCAGAACTACACGGGAGGATCTTGTCAATGATTTCAAGGCAGCTGGGACCATAGTCACCAAGAAAACAATTGGTAACACACTACGCCGTGAAGGACTGAAATCCTGCAGCGCCCGCAAGGTCCCCCTGCTCAAGAAAGCACATATACAGGGCCGTCTGAAGTTTGCCAATGAACATCTGAATGATTCAGAGGAGAACTGAGACCAAAATCGAGCTCTTTGGCATCAACTCAACTCGCCGTGTTTGGAGGAGGAGGAATGCTGCCTATGACCCCAAGAACACCATCCCCACCGTCAAACATGGAGGTGGAAACATTATGCTTTGGGGGTGTTTTTCTGCTAAGGGGACAGGACAACTTCACCGCATCAAAGGGACGATGGATGGCGCCATGTACCATCAAATCTTGAGTGAGAACCTCCTTCCCTCAGCCAGGGCATTGAAAATGGGTTGTGGATGGGTATTCCAGCATGACAATGACCCAAAACACATGGCCATGGCAACAAAGGAGTGGCTCAAGAAGAAGCACATTAAGGTCCTGGAGTGGCCTAGCCAGTCTCCAGACCTTAATCCCATAGAAAATCTGTGGAGGGAGCTGAAGGTTCGAGTTGCCAAACGTCAGGTTCGAAACCTTAATGACTTGGAGAAGATCTGCAAAGAGGAGTGGGACAAAATCCCTCCTGAGATGTGTGTAAACCTGGTGGCCAACTACAAGAAACGTCTGACCTCTGTGATTGCCAACAAGGGTTTTGCCACCAAGTACTAAGTAATGTTTTGCAGAGGGGTCAAATACTTATTTCCCTCATTAAAATACAAATCAATTTATAACATTTTTGACATGCGTTTTTCTGGATTTTGTTGTTGTTATTGTCTCTCACTGTTTCAAATAAACCTACCATTAATATTATAGACTGATCATGTCTTTGTCAGTGGGCAAACGTACAAAATCAGCAGGGGATCAAATACTTTTTTCCCTCACTGTACATAAAACTATTACTTACTGAAATGACTGACGTTTGGTTTTACTTTACTCATCTTTGGATGGATGTATATTTATATATATATATATATCCAACTGCAATTTTAAACTAACATATAGCTTATCATTCACAAGAAACTGGGATGTGAACACAATGCATAGGAGAGTAATATTCTGATACTAACAGTGGTGCGAAATATAGGGAACAGTGTTAGAGACAAGCGGTTTGTCCCCAGACCCAACACACACTGCACTGTCATGTCAAATGTGTAAATAATCTATAGAATGTGTGTGTGTGAAGTAGTCTACATTTCATACTAACTAGGCACTATTATTAATTTGCTCGACTGTCATATCAAAGTTATTTGTTTTTCAAACACCATGGCTACGTTTACACATGCAGCCCAATTCTGATTTTTTCCCCCCACTAATTGGTCTTTTGACCGATCAGATCTGGAAAAGATCCGATGTGATTGGTCAAAAGACTAATTAGTGGAAAAGTGACATCAAGCCCATGTGACATCAAGCGGCTTACCTTGAGCCAAGGTGGAACTCAGAAGTTGCTAGGATTTACATATAGTTTCAAAAGTGAATTCATGTGAACTTAATGATAATTTAATACATAATTGTTAAAATGTCATACATCGCTAAAGAGCAATAAACAATGCATTAATTCTGCATAACAAATCATGTTTTCCATTTGAAATGTAAGGTATAATGATTTTCACTTCATTTGTTACCTAATAAATATAATCTGATATCATAAATTACTGTATACAACTTTCATGTCAAAAGAGGAAACATAACCTAGTATTCCAAATGTCTATACAAGGTGGCGTAACTTTCAATTAAATATAAGACTTTGAAATTGAATATAAAAAGGTTAATAGGTGATAAACCAGTCTCTCTGATGTGTTCAGTGATACAGAACAATGAGGCCACTCAATTATTTAACTAGTAACTTATCCACTTAACCAAAGAGCACATAATGTAATTAGTCAAATATACCATTAATACCAGTAACAGGAAAAATACAGTTAGATATTTAAAAATCATTTTGGGAGTGTGAGTAAAGTCAAAACAATTAAAATGTCAAGGAGTATCATTCAGTTCTCTGTTGTAGCAGCTTTTAAACTTAAGATTAACCTGATGATGCTTCTGCATACCCTAACAAACACATGCATCTCCTGAAAATCCATTCAAACATGAGATAAAATAAAAGATATGGTTTAACAGCTGACAATGGAGTAATGGGAAAACAAAACAATAATGGTAAAGAAGAAAAACAATCCCATTTTCACTTCCTCTTAACAAATATATCTAATACCCTACCATGTTGAAGGAATGACAATAACCAAGTAACAACATATGAAGGCGAGTAAAATCCCAAAGTCAAAGTAGATGAAAAAAAATGTGTGAAAAACCTTGCGAAAGCACATTGGATGTAAGACCGGTTTTAGGTGAAGAATCAGGACGCACAAGGCTCAGAAAAGGAACAAAGAAATGTAGTCTACACGCTCAGGCAGGTGCCACTAAACAAACACTCTTTTCTCACATTCTTATTGACCACTCTACTACATGGGACATCAGTTAGAACACTTGACATTTGCTAGACCTGAAAGGATGAAATAAAGTCTACATACATATCAAAACCTTTCCTTCAAATGTGGGTTAGAATATCCAATTATCATTTGCGTTTATTCAAAAGTACATTCGTGTTTCAAACAAAAGGAGAGGCAGTACAAACAGAAGAGGCAAGCTGCATGATAGCTACTGTGCCTAATAGAAAGTGCTAGAGCGTTAATACATCAAGAGCTTTGGTAAGGACACAAAAGGAGTAATTCACTGGCACATCACAATCATGCCTCATTGGTGAACAAAGCCCAACCATCACATACATTTAACTCCTCCATCTCTGTCACATGGCTACAGAGATGAAGTTGCAGTGCTACCAACATGTGGGAATGGTGTGTGTCAGTTGGGGATGGGTATCGTTGTAAGCTGTTCCTATGAAGACACTAGAAGACAGAGAAGAGAGAGCCAAGAGCCAATCCAGTCGCAGCTCCAGCGAGCATGCTGAGAGCCACGTCTCCTCCATCGTCACGTTGACGCTCGTGAACAATAACCTGATTCATCCCTTGGGGATCCCTCATAGGATATGCTCCTACAAATCATGGTAGGACACATGAACTGCAGTTAGAATGGTGAAAAAAGTTATATTGCAAAATAGTAACTGAAAGATTATATCCATTAAAAGAATGAAGAAACATTTAATTAAATGTAATTATCAATGTAACCTTTGACATTCCTTCGGGAGCATGCAAACTATAAAAGTGGGCATTCACCCTGTGCGTACCTTGGTACTGATAGGGGTATGCAACCGCATAGGACTGCCCATCAGCGGAGTAAATGATCTGTGTGCCATGGGCAGGAGGAGCTGGGGCATAGCCTCCATAAGCGTCCGGGACATAAACCTGTTGGAAAGGCAGAAATGACTTGTCACTATTGGGGAGACTCCTACCACTACTGCCCTGGTATCTAGAGAACTGATGCAAGCCGTATAGTAACATTTATCCTAAACCAAAATATATAGCATATACACCATGTTACAGTGCCTTCAGAAAGTATTCACACCCCTTTACTTTTTTTCATATTTTGCTGTGTTACAGCCTGAATGTAAAATGGATTACATTTAAATTTTTTGTCACTGGCCTACACACAATACCTCATAATGTCAAAGTGGAATTATGTTTTTCGAAATGTTTACAAATTAAAAGCTGAAATGTCTGAAGTTAAGTATTCAACCCCTTTGTTATGGCAATTTGCTTAACAAGTCACATAATAAGTTGGATGGACTCACTGTGTGCAATAGCTTTTAACATGATTTTTTAATGACTACCTCATCTCTGTACCCCACACATACAATTATCTGTAAGGTCCCTCAGTCGAGTAGTGAATTTCAAACACAGATTCAACCACAAAGACCAGCGAGGGTTTCCAATGCCTCGCAAAGATGGGCACCTATTGGTAGATGAGTACCAAAAAAAGCAGACATTGAATATCCCTTTGAGCATAGTGAAGTTATTAATTACACTTTGGATGGTGTCTCAATACACCCAGTCACTACAAAGATACAGGCGTCCTTCCTAGTTATGTTGCCGGAGAGGAAGGAAACCGCTCAGGGATTTGACCATGAGGCCAATGGTGACTTTAAAACAGTTACAGAGTGTAATGGCTGTGATTGGAGAAAACTGAGGATGGATCAACAAATAATAATAACAACATTGTAGTTACTCCACAATACTAACCTAATTGACAGCGTGAAAAGAAGGAAGCCTGTACAGAATAAAAATATTCCAAAACATGCATCCTGTTTGCAACAAGGCACTAAAGTAATACTGCAAAAAATGTGGCAAAGCAATAAACTTTTTGTCCTGAATACAAAGTGTTATGTTTGTGGCAAATGCAATACAACACATTACTGAGTACCACTCTCCATATTTTCAAGCATAGTGGTGGCTGCATCATGTTATGGGTATGCTTGTAATTGTTAAGGACTGGGGAGTTTTTCAGGATAAAAGAAATGGAGCTAAGCACAGGCAAAATCCTAGAGAAAAACCTGGTTCAGTCTGCCTTCTACCAGACTCTGGGAGATTAATTCACCTTTCAGCAGGACAATAACCTAAAACACAAGGTCAAATCTTCACTGGACATGCTTACCAAGAAGGCAGTGAATGTTCCTGCCTTAAGTTTTTGACTTAAATCTACTTGAAAATCTATGGCAAGACCTGAAAATGGTTGTCTAGTAATGAACAACAACCAATTTGGTAGAGCTTGAAGAATGTTTTTAAAGAATGGGCAAATGTTGCACAATCCAGGTGTGGAAAGCTCTTAGCGACTTACCCAGAAAGAATCACAGCTGTAATCGCTGCCAAAGGTGCTTCTACAAAGTATTGACTCGGGTGTGAGTACTCATGTAAATGAGATATTTCTATATTTTATTTTCAATAAATTAGCAAAAATGTCTAAAAACATGTTTTCACTGGCCTTAAGGGTATTGCGTGTAGATTGGTAAGAAGAAGAAAGAAAAAAAAGTAAGCCATTTTGAATTCAGGCTGTAAGACAACAAAATGTGGAATAAGTAAAGGGGTATGAATACTTTCTGAAGGCACTGTGTGTGTATATATATATATATATATATATATATATATATATATATATGTACTATAAACTAAGGATTTACAATGGTTTCCTTTTTCACTGATCAAGGTAACTACATTTCAAGACAGAAATCCAGGTGAAAGAGCATAAGTGACACAATGACTGCTCAAAGCATATTTACAAATGTAAAGTCTAGGCAGCAGGCTCACATGTACGTACCGGAGGTGGAGGACCATATTCAGAATACGGAGGAGGGGCAGAAGGAACGATCTGCTGCGGAAAGCCAATCTGAGGCGGAGCGACCACCTAAAATATAGATAAATGTTATCTCCATGGAATGTTTTGGATGTGAATAAAAATATACAACTAATCAATTAAGACCTGAGCTATAATACTGTCCATAAGTAGTCTAGGATATGCAGGCAGAGGGTCTTGGCAGACCAGCAGAAACTCACAGAGCTGATTCTGGCATCCTGGAGAGCCATGGTCCATGCCCTGAAACAACGATGGGAAAACAAGAATTGACATGAGTTTTCAGCAGGCTAACCCATATAGACACAACTAATCACTGTCATATTGATTACAATGGGAGAGATGTCTTACAGAGCATCATCTGCACTGTCTCCACAAATGCTGATGACCCGTCCATCTCTGCAGACTATCTGGAGCAGGGCATCTCGACTTCTGCCCTCTGGAGGGTTCAGATCTGTGGACAGTGAAAAGGTGGATGGAACAGGTGGTTGATGGGATGGTGTGGATACATTTTAGTCATTAAGTAGACGCTCTTGTCCAGGGCGACTTACAGTTAGAGCATTCATCTTAAGATTGCTAGGTGGGACAACCACATCTCAGTCATAGTAAGTACATTTTTCCTCAATGAAATAGCTATCAGCAAAGTCAGTGGTAGTGTGGGGGGGGTTCACATTTTATCCTATTGCGAGTTGAGAGAATAGAAAAGTATAACAGATGTAGGTAGTCAAGTACCTTGACATGCAGTTGCACTGCGAATGTTAATGCAGTCCACTCTCATGTGGATCTCATCCTCCATATCTCGCCGGTGCTGGTCATCATAGAAAACCAGCCGCCCATCAGACCACAGGTCAAACCAGTTCCTCTTCCACCGCCGCAGAATAGTGCCTGTATCATTGACTTATGTTTTATTTAAAATACTCCAGCACTTTGTGCAAACACAGTTCTAAGCCCCAAAGAGCAATGAGGCCATGGTGGTATGGAAAAAAGACATGAGGAAATTCTGTGAAGTGTCAGGAAGAAACAAACTATAGAAAACAATTCTGCAACGAAATCTAGCGCTTCTATTGGAACCTACCTGAATCTGTCCAATAGAAACGCTAGTTTTCGTTGCAAAACGTTTGGAGTAATGATTACACTCCAGGTTTGTGACAGACTTGTGTACTGCACTAATGACAGTGTAGCTAGCAACAGCTCCACTTACTCTGCCGATGGAGGAAGCCACTTTTCACAATCGACATCCTTAGGTTACTCTGAAAATAAACATTTGGAAAACAAAAAAATGCTTACTGGATATAGCGAAATCTATTTAGCTAGCTAAATGGTCCTTTTTAAAACATAGCTGATAGCTAGTTTAGCTAAACCATCGTAACACTCACTGCCTAACGTTACAGTGCCTGGTATGCTAACTGACGTTAGCTGGCTAGCTGACCGAATCTATTTACGTTGGCATTTTACCCTTTGGTAAACTATGCTTTGAAGCTTATGCTGACAATATTTCTGGAGATGATAATATGACTAGCTACACATTACATACCTGTAATTAAAATACCTCTTGTGGAATGTCGTTTTCAAAGCCCTGGGACGACAAAAGTTAACTGTCTTGTTTTGAATGACATCATCAATATCAGCTGACTTGTCCTTAATTAGAACGCTGGGAATTGGAGCCAAAGTACTTTTATCTACGATAAACAATCATATTATTCGTTCCCTGTAATGTTACAATAATGTGGTTATTGTCTTTACTGTTTTCCTTTTAAAATATAAAGGAGCCAAACCCTAAAGTTATCCAATCATAAGGACATATTCAAATCTGTATCTTTTGAGCCAAAGAAAATCGAGGACGTCATGAATTATGAACGTCTCTAGCTAGTATCCAGCTAATGAATGCTGTGTTCATAATCAAGTGGGAAGATGGTATTTACCTTTGACTGGGACTATCCACCTAAAGGCCCTCCAACTCTTAATTACTAGTGGGAAACGCATCTATCATGGTGGCTTTACGTGCTTGTGGGAAATGGGAAACTGGGAAGTCGTAAGTCCGACATGATTGTGTTCAAGTGTTTTTGAAGTCAGAACAATTCTTCTACCAATAAGATTTTAGCTTGATAAGTTAGCTAACATTGCTAATAATAAGGTTAGCTAGCTTGCTTAAAGACATGCTCCGGAACTTTGGTGACTACTAAGTATTTTTTAAACCTCCCGCTTTGGGCTGGATGTGTCAATGTGTAGTTCATAGATGCATAATCTATGAGCAGAATTACTGTTTTAACTCAACTAGCCAGAAATCCTAGTTTGAAAGCGACAGTTTTTCTGGAGGTTTTTCGTGGGCCAGCCCCCTAGCAATTTGAGTTCTAGCCAATGAGCTTCAGCCCCTCACCATTTGAGTAACAGCTAGCAAGATGCACACACAGCAGAGAGAGATCAATGACTTGGTGCACATATGTGATGCAGCAAGGTATGGAACCGAAGTTATTTTCCAATCGTTTCTTTCTGAACAAAACCATTATACATTTTTGCTGTTCCGACCAGCAAAATAAAGTTCTGAACCGGTTGGCACCAAAAAAGGTACCGGTTTATAACGTTACTTTCTGATCGTGTATATACACACACACACACACACACACACAGTACCAGTCAAAAGTTTGGACACACCTACTCATTCAAGGGTTTCTTTATTTTTGCTATTTTCTACATTGTAGAATAATAGTGAAGACATCAAAACTATGAAATAACACATATGGAATCATGTAGTCACCAAAAAAGTGTTTAACAAATCAAAATATATTTTATATTTGAGATTCTTCAAAGTAGCCTCCCTTTGCCTTGATGACAGCTTTGCACACTCTTGGCATTCTCTCAACCAGCTTCATGAGGTAGTCACCTGGAATGCATTTCAATTAACAGGTATGCCTTGTTAAAAGTTAAATTGTGGAATTTATTTCCTTCTTAATGCGTTTGAGCCAATCAGTTGTGTTGTTCCAAGGTAGGGGTTGTATACAGAAGATAGCCCTATTTGGTAAAAGACCAAGTCCATATTATGGCAAGAACAGCTCAAATAAGCAAAGAGAAACGACAGTCCATCATTACTTTAAGACATGAAGGTCAGTCAATCCGTAAAATTAAGAATTTTGAACGTTTCTTCAAGTGCAGTCGCAAAAACCATCAAGCGCTATGATGAAAACTGGCGCTCATGAGGACCGCCACAGGAAAGGAAGACCCAGAGTTTTTGGGTTCCAACCGCCGTGTCTTTGTGAGATGCAGAGTAGGTGAACGGATTATCTCGTCGTGTGTGGTTCCCATCATGAAGCATGAAGGAGGTGTGATGGTGTGAGCGTGCTTTGCTGGTGACACTGTCAGTGATTTATTTAGAATTCAAGGCACACTTAACCAGCATGGCTACCACAGCATTCTGCAGCGATACGCCATCCCATCTAGATTGAGTTTAGTGGGACTATCATTTGTTTTTCAACAGGACAATGACCCAACACACCAAGAAGGAGAGTGATGGAGTGCTGCATCAGATGACCTGGCCTCCACAATCGCCCGACCTCAACCCAACTGAGATGGTTTGGGATGAATTGGACTGCAGAGTGAAGGAAAAGCAGCCAAGAAGTGCTCAGCATATTTGGGAACTCCTTCAAGACTGTTGGAAAAGCATTCCTCATGAAGCTGGTTGAGAGAATGCCAAGAGTGTGCAAAGCTGTCATCAAGGCAAAGGGTGGCTACTTTGAAGAATCTCAAATATATTTTGATTTGTTTAACACTTATTTGGTTACTACATGATTCCATGTGTGTTATTTCATAGTTTAGATGTCTTCACTATTATTCTACAATGTAGAAAATAGTAAAAATAAAGAAAAACCCTTTAATGAGTAGGTGTCCAAACTTTTGGCTGGTAATGTATCTTTTTTTACATTTAGCTCGACCTTAAATTACTTCACCAATCAGTGCGGCTAGAAGAGCACCAATCAGTGTGGCTAGAACAGCTTGCTGTGGAGTGGGTAAGGGATTTAATCTGTATAGGAAAGTCATTAACAGCAAATTGTATTTTGCCGTAACAGCATGGTTTAATCATAATGAAAGACAAACACACACTGTGCTGCCAGTCACAGTGTAGGGCGTGAGATGCAACTGAAATTGAGGGTGAGGAGAGAGAGAGAGAGAGAGAGAGAGAGAGAGAGAGAGAGAGAGAGAGAGAGAGAGAGAGAGAGAGAGCATGGAGGAAGCATGACTTTAAGTTCTGGCCATCTTGTTATGACATGCATTATCTGAATTAGGCCCACATAATTATACCTACGGAGGATCTGCTTTTATGGAGGAACTTTGAATGTCTTTGAACTTCCGAGTTGGGCTAACAAGCTTGTGTGTGCAGAGCAGCACTAGAATTAAAAACACGTCTTACCATTATGTAGTTAATAAATCCAATGTGAAACGTGATAGCTATAGTATTCCTTAACTAGCATTAAAAAAGTAAATCCATTCTTCTCTAATTAAACATCTCTCCCTAATTTCTGAATTACGATTGTAACATCATCAGTAGGCTACAGTAACATATGCTTCAGAGGGGAGGGGCAGGTAGCCTACACACCAGGGGTTGGAACAGGGTTCAAGGAACAGAACAGAAAACCGGAAAATAACTTTTTTTTTTCGAGGAACACAACCAGAACAAAAGTGATCTATACTGTTCCGGAACAGAACCTTTATGTTTAAAGCATGGGAACCGGTTAATAACTTTATTTTATGTTCCAGGCATTTTTTTCCATGCTCACAAAAAACGCAACAAAGCGCCTATGCAAAGCCCTCACTGCCACTCAGAAATGTATTCCAATGTCTGCCTGCCAGCTGAAAATCTTTGCCAGTGTGTTTGTGTAGGCTAACTGCCCTCCCCCTGAAGCATGCAGTCTACTGTAGCTACTGACATTACAGGCACAATTCAGAAATAAGGGAGAGAGATGTTTTAATTAGAGAACAATGGATTAACTTTTTCAATGCTACACTGAACAAAAATATAAACACAACAATTTCAAAGGTTTTACTGAGTTACAGTTCATATAAGGAAATCAGTCAATAGAAATAAATTCATTAGGCCCTAATCTATGGATTTCACATGACTGGGCAGGGGCACAGCCATGGGTGGGCCTGGGAGGGCATAGGCCTACCCACTTGGGAGCTAGGCACACCCACTGGGGAGCCTGGTCCAGCCAATCAGAATGAGTTTTTCCCCACAAAATGGCTTTAGTACAGACATAGATACTCCTCAGCACCACTATCCCCCCTCAGACAATACTGCAGGTAACTAAGCCAGTTGTGGAGGTCCTGGGGTGGTGTGATTACACCTGGTCTGCGGTTGTGAGGCTGGTTGTACGTACTGCCAAATTCTCAAACAATGTTGGAGGCGACTTATGGTAGAGAAATGAACATTCAATTTTCTGGCAACAGCTCTGGTGGACATTCCTGCAGTCAGCATGCCAATTGCAAGCTCCCTCAAAACTTGAGACATCTGTGGAATTGTGTTGTGTGACAGAACTGCACATTTTAGAGTGGCCTTTTATTGTCCCCAGCACAAGGTGCACCTGTGTAATGATCATGCTGTTTAATCAGCTTCTTGATATGCCACACTTCTCAGGTGGATGGATTATCTTGGAAAAGGAGAAATGCTCACTAACAGGGATGTAAACAAATGTGTACACAAAGTTTGAGAGAAATAAGCTTTTTGTGCATATGGAACATTTCTGGGATCTTTTATTTTAGCACATGAAACATGGGACCAACGCTTTACATGTTGCGTTTATATTTTTGTTCAGTATAGTTAAGGATACTATAGTTATCATGTTTCACATTGGATTTATTAACTACAAAAAGGTAAGAAGTGTTTTTATTTTAATTCTGGTGCTAGCTCTGATCTAGCTCTCAAACTCTAGGAGGCATTATGTGTAATGTAATGGAACTGAGTCATGATCAAGGGCTAGCTCTGGTCCAACGTTTCTTAAGCCAACCCTCTGAAGTTCCAAGACATTCAAAGGTCTTTCATAGATGCCGCTCCTCTGTAGGTATAATTCTGTGGGCCTAATTCAGATAATGCATGTCATAACAACAAGATGCCCAGTGCTTCATGCCCAGCTCTCTCCTCACCCGCAAAATTTCAGTCGCATGTCGCACTCTACATTACACAGTAATTTAATGTTGAGCTAAATGTAAAAAAATAATAATACGATAAACAGTTACTTTTTTTATTATTTTAACCGGTTCAGAACTATATTTTGCTGGTCGGAACAGTGGAACGGAACAAAAAAAAATATATGGTTCTGTTCAGAACGAAACAATTGGAAAATAATTTTGGTTCCAACCCCTGCTACACACACACGCACACCCACCACTGGCAAAGATTTCCAGCTGGCAGGCAGATGCTGGAATACGTTTTTGGGTGACAGAGTGAGGGCTTTGCATAGGTGCTTTGTTACAATTTTGTGGGACAGGGAAAAAATGCCCAGAACATAAAATAACATTATTAACCGGTTCCATGCTTTTAAATAACAGTTCTGTTCCGGAACAGTATAGATCACTTTCGTTTTCGGTTCTGTTCCTTGAACCGGTATACAGTATACAAAAGTACCAGAGAATCTCTTTAACATTGACAATCATGGTCAAACTAGCTACATTACCCATTCTGATATAAGGTTATAATTGTAAAAAAAATAGATGTCATCTTTTGGTTCAAAGGGTAAAAGGAAACGTCACAACTCGGCAACTCGGGTAATAACATGTTCTCTGAGTTTCCCACCTGTAATTCCGATTTGGAGAGTTGTTCAAGTGAAATTTCCCACTGGGAACTAGGAATTTCTGATAACTCCGATAGTACGTGTTCTGAACGCAACATCATCCCTGAGCTCCGATTTCTCCCAGAGAGGAAGAGGTTAAGCGAGGGTCGACTCCCCCCAAAATCTGTCTGCCGAAAATAAACGTTAAGCAGACCAAGTGAGGAGTTTTTGTATTGGTCAAGATAAAAGTGAATTGCTAATTTGATACGTGAGGCTTATTTGATCTAATAGAAGTGTCATAATGCTCAGGTTGTTACGAGTGTGCTGATATATGTGTAATAAAACGTGACATTCCGGCAACTTTAAGAAAAACTATTTTATATCCTAGTTGTTTGTGCCTGTTAGTCACACACATATATATATATTTTTTTTACATTTTAGTCATTTAGCAGACGCTCTTATCCAGAGCGACTTACATTTAGTGAGTGCATACATTTTCTGGCCCCCCGTGGGAAACGAACCCACAACCCTGGCGTTGCAAGCGCCATGCTCTACCAACTGAGCTATACGGGGCCCCTATCTGCCCTCTCATTGGCTAGAACAATGGTGTCAAGGATCCGGTCATTCGGCCCGCTAGGGGTCCTGTGTCCAGCTCGCTAATAATCACTGATATGAAAGCTAGACTATTTTTTTCTCCAATTTTGACTGCGAGGAAATATAACACATTTTCAGTGTGGTCCTCCAGACCTCGTTGAAGACCGAATGTGGACCCTGGGGCAAAATGAGTTTGACACCCTGGGCTAGAATGTCACCGCCTTTACGGATATTTCCATTGTTAGAGCGGTCTTATATCTTACAACGCTTGGATAGGTATTTTGGGTATCAGCTAACCACATATGTCATAGCAATTGGTCAGTCGATGACACAGTCGACGACGTGACACGCAACCATTGGTTGTTGCATCACCTCGCCTTGACTGTGGGACGTGCCCTAATGCTGTGTTCAAAACAACTGGGAACTCTGAAATCTCCGACTTCCGAACGTTCATGACACGTGGGAACTCTGAAAAAAACGAGCTCCGATGGGAAAAATCGCTTTGAACGGTAATCCAACTCGGAATTTCGGGCATCTTTCTAGAGCTACGACTTTCCGACCTGGAGATCACTGATGTCATGATTTGACCTTTTTTTAAAGCACCATAAGCTTCTCCCACATGCTGACGTCACATACTAAGGAAATTACGTCGATATTAGCGGTTTACATTTTTGTAACAACAAAACATTATTCATAAAAAGCAATCTATTAATATGAGTTTTGAACACTATATAATTTGTTTAGAAGCATGACAGCTAGCTGTACTTTTAGTTTATGGTTGACACAGCTTGTTGTTCAAGGCACGTGAATGTATACAACCTGTATTTACACATCATAACTACATTGTAATTACCACCTTCCCACTTGGTAATGAACGCAGCATATGCTAGTTAACTGTAGTTAGGAAAAAATTGCTTAAATTTTTAGCTAACCCTGTAAAATACCAGTGAAAAGATGGCGACGGCAATATACCTGGAACATTACCTTGACAGTGAGTATCTACCGTTAACTAATTTAAGTTGATCAGTTGTCTAAATACATTTCCAATCTTGTGTTTTTCAGTGTCGAATTTTTTTAGCTAGCGACGTTACTAGCCAAGCAAGTTGTCTCGTAGTGATATTAACGTTACACATTTTCGGCATGACGAACGTAAACTGGCATTGTTTTTGTTAGCTAGCGGTCTAGTAACTCGCTAGGTCATTGAAGTTGTAGGTTCGATGAAATGCTTTACATTGTTGACCTTATCTAACGTTTGTGAGTTAACGTTACAAGGAGGGTTGTTTACCGCTTATCTAGCTAAGTTAGTAGTAACTTCTTAGCAGCAAGCCAACAACAAGGTGGTGTTCTAGTTAGCTAAACGGCGACATGTACATGTAATTTATTTAGGGTCTCAGTGGGCCATGACCATAAAATGTGGTTTGCTCTAGTTAGTAGGCGGGGGATGGCTGTGGCGCGACCTCGTTTTCTGCCTGGAGGCAAGTGTACACGGGGCGGGAGGTTTGATTTAAAAGTGCGTCACAAGCACAGTTTCACTAACGTTGTCTCATTTCCACTAACTTTTAAACATTGTTGTTTTCCGGGAAAACATTTTTAGTTGAAGATATTTGGTAGTACAGCTGTCATGATCCAGCTAACATTATCAATTTTGATGTGGGCACCTGTTATTTGGTAACGCTCATCAGACTGTGCATTCAGTGTAGAAAGGTGCAAGAACCATTTGTCTAATAAATAAGAGTGAATACCAATTCTTGGTAAAGTCTGAAACAAAGCACTGCAAAAACTTGGAAAGTTTCTTAACAAGCCAGAATGTTGAATTAAATTATTTTAATTTACTCTACTGGTTGTCTGTGTGGTTGGACAAAATATCCACAGGAAATAATTATTAACCAGACTTTTTAGAGTGCATGTACTGCCATTGACATTTCAATTACCTGCGACATGCGCAACACCATGTAAACACCTGCAAGACTTGTTAGGTCACGATCAAACAAATCTTGATTGCCACACAGACCTGTGTTTTTGAAGTCCGTTTAATAATACTTTCCTTGGATATTTTGTCAAAAATGTCGACCAGCTGAAGGACCAACCCCGCGGACAATCGGAAGTGTAAGTTAAAATCTAATTGTATTCTACATTTGTGACAGACAAGGGACGTTGAGGGTTCCTATGGAATTTTTTATATATGCCTACCCAGGCCAAACTCGGATGATGTTCTGCCAATTGTGCGCCGCCCTATGGGACTCCCAATCATGGCCAGATTGTGATACAGGCTGGAATCGAACCAGGGTCTGTAGTGACGCCTCTAGCACTGAGATGCAGTGCCTTAGACCGCTGCGCCACTGGGGAGCCCTATGCTTTACAAGCAATGGAAAGCATAGCCAAAATCGGGACTAAAGAGCCCTGAGCTGTCAGCTGTGTGTTATCATCAAATCCTATCTTGTTCTCATGATGAACTATTGTAGTTACTGAATGATTGCTTCATACATTCCCCCAGGTATTGAGAATCTTCCCTGTGAACTACAGAGAAACTTTACACTGATGCGGGACCTGGACAATAGAACTGAAGGTACAATACTACACAAGAAATACATTTTAAAGTGTTATTCATTTTGATCACCTGATTTACCACATGGTTTCATGCCCCATCAGTATTGTGTAGTTCAGCATCTTTCATTTTCCAGTATTACAATTTTCCTGCAATTGTGTAGAGAAAAAAGGAGAGATTGACAAACTGGCGGAGGAGTATATCTCAAGTGTAAGGAACTTGGCTTCGGAACAGAGGGTTGAGCACCTGCAGAAGATCCAGAGTGCTTACAGCAAGTGCAAAGAGTTCAGCGATGACAAAGTGCAGCTTGCCATGCAGACATATGAAATGGTCAGTGCTCCAAACCTGGCATATAAGTACATAAAGATGTGTCAATACTTTCACTACTGGTCAATAGATAATGCAAAACCAATCTAATTGTCTGCATGTCATAGGTGGACAAGCATATCCGCAGGCTGGATGCAGACCTGGCCCGATTTGAGAATGAGCTGAAGGAGAAGCTGGAAGTGGGCGGCTATGAAAGTCCAGAAGGAAGAGGGTTAAAGAGTAAGCAGGGAGACTGTTGGTGGGAAATACTTCTCCAGCACATTTACGACAGGTAAACTAACTTCCATGTCCACTGCTGTGAATATCTGCTTTAGAGGGTGAAGGTCAGGGACTGAGGGAGAAGCGAGGACCCAGGGGGAGAGGAAGGAAATCATCAGATGAGGATTCTCCCAGGAAGAAAAAGCTTAAAAACAGGTATCAAAAAGGTTGTACAAACAAGTACAATTTACGTGCGTCTGCCTGGTTCTCACTCTCACTTAATATAATTCACCATCTGTTAATGTCTGTAGCCCAGGGTTGAGTTCTGCTCTCCTGCCAATGCAACAGTCAGATGTTTTGGACATGCCAGTTGATCCCAATGAGCCAACATACTGCTTGTGCCATCAAGTGTCATATGGAGAGATGATTGGATGTGATAACCCTGATGTAAGTTTTTATTGGGTATTGGTTGTCTTGTTATTCAAAAGAATGCTTTGAAATTAGTGGTATTCTCAGGGCTCTAAATGGAAAATGTTAATTACTTAGGAGCACAACAAAGTGTAGGAGCACCAGAAAATATTTGTTTAATTGATTGAGATATAGCCTATATTGGGTCTATATTTCTAGCTACTTTTATGCCCTATAAACTAATATTCTAACCCTGTAAAGACATTTGTATATTATAAAATATTGATACAAAAACCTGTAATTGAAATTAGTCAGTTGTGGAATATTAGGTTTCTACATTTTAATGTTGTCTTCTTACCAATGCGTTCATTATTCATAGTGTCCAATTTGAGTGGTTTCACTTGTGTTGATCTTACTACAAAGCCAAAAGGAATATTAGGTTTCTACATTGCACAAGCACTATCTACTGAGATGCATTATATATAAATTTGTACACTGTCTCTTTAAGAGCGTCAAGTTCATTCCTATATGATAATTGATTTCCTGAAGAAGCTATCCCTTTTCCTTTCTATGCCCCCAAATGTTTGCATATACTTAAGCATTAAGGCATGATAGGTTGTGGTATATGGCCAATATACCACGGCTAAGGGTTGTTCTTACACACGACACAACGCAGAGTGCCTGGATACAGCCCTTAGCCGTGGTATATTGGGCATATACCACAAACCCCAGAGGGGCCTTACTGCTATTATAAACTGGTTACCAACGTAATTATAGCAGTAACAATAAATGTTTTGCCATACCCGTGTTATACGGTCTGATATACCAAAGCTGTCAGCCAATCAGCATTCAGGCCTCGAACCACCCAGTTTATAATGGTAATTAAGTAACCAGGTTGTTAGATAGCTAGCTAATGAGGTTACATGACTGAACAAGGTGTAAACAAATGCCCGCGGGTGGTTTTGGAACAGCCAGTGAAATGTTTTATGAATGTCTAGCCAATTCACGATAGGAGGAATAAAACATTGCGCCGGTAATATATTTTTACTAGTTTGTGCTAGAAATAAATCAGTTTTCGCTGTAGTAATGGTGCAACCATGAAAGTAACGAATATGCACTCGCTTTTATCTACAGGGCACTCAAACAATGGTATAGCGAAGCCTAATCATCATAACAATTATCTGGGTGATTGATTTTCTAGGCGCACAGTGCTCCCAAAATAAAATGTCAGGTCGCACATTAAAATGGTCACACTTTAAAGCCCTGGGTATTCTATATAGATTCAACGAGTTAATCGAAAGAATACTGTAATGTTGATGTCTTTTTACCAATGTTTTTATTTTTCAAACAGTGTCCAATTGAGTGGTTTCACTTTGCTTGTGTTGATCTTGCTACAAAGCCCAAAGGAAAATGGTAAGTTAATATTTTACAATGAGTTAATGAAGTGTATTGTATATGTAATTAAAAGCAGATGAATTTGGGAATGTTGATTACATGCATTACCTTTTTGTACTTGTATTTTGTCTTCTCTTTCAGGTTTTGTCCACGATGCACCCAGGATAAGAAGAAAAAATGAGATATATTTCTTTAAAGTACTTTTCTATAAATATATGTATTTTGTCTATGTAGTAAAGTGTAATATATTGACAAAATTATTTCCCTTTCTATTATGTCCGTGCATACATATTATGGTCTAAATACAAAGCTTTTATTCGAAGTACTTGAAATATGTAAACATTTAAAAGTTTTAGTATTTGACAAACAAATTCAACAGCTGTTGATAATACATTTTCTACATGGTTTAGTTTCCATTTTTTTAAAATTCTGTCCTCACTTAAATATTAGGGCCAGTGTTAGGGTCTCATTTGTGTCTGCATTTTAGTTACCTAGATACCTCTCGGGTTCAAGCACATGCAGATACTGCAATCTTGAATCCTGCCTAAAAATCTATCTTAAACCAAGCAAGCAAACAAAAACGTTCACTCCGTCCAGTCTTGGACTAATAAGCTATCTGGTAAAAGGTGCACTATATTTTTATATTGACTGTCAAAAGCATTTGCCCACTCTTGAATGTATTATGGTGATAATGATCAGACATTTAGGAAGGGACTGGTATCTCTTTGCCAACATAACCAGCAAGCATTAAAGCACTTTGAATAAAACATCTGCTGTTCACCACTAACGATAAACAATTTAACAGTCCCTACTCACTAGATAAAGTGGACATAGTGCAAGCCCTATTTTTCTTTTGTGGGGAATGGCTTTCCAAAGATATTTTATTCGTTCACGCTGCTGTAAAGTACAAATGAAAGACTAACATTGTAAGAAATTGAACAATAATGAAACATGTTAATGATTCTGAGCTATTCACTGGAAACGAAGTCCACTGCTATTGCTTTTGAATATTTTGTTGACCATAAGCAATTATGCCACTTATTTTATTATAACCATACACAAAATACTATTGTCCTTGATATACAAGGACGTGACAATTGTGACTATTCCTTTCCAAAGTTCTTTACAGTTTTTATTCATTGTTCGGGATTTTTAGGGTTTTAGCATAAACTTGTCTTTATTCAACTGTGAATATATCAATCTTGTACAAGTATAGTGCTGTTGAAATGGAGAGAAGGTCAAGGAGCCAAAGTATTTGTATTTTGTACATGTCAGTGTTTCATATCAATAAACATTTACAACTATTCAATATTTCAATAGCATGTCTACTTGAATAGCAAGTGTCTTAACTGACATTTTCAACCTCTCCCTGACCGAGTCTGTAATACCTACAAGCAGACCACCATAGTCCCTGTGCCCAAGAAAGCGAAGGTAACCTGCCTAAATGACTACCTCCCCGTAGCACTCACGTCGGTAGCCATGAAGTGCTTTGAAAGGCTGGTCATGGCTCACATCAACGCCATCATCCTGAAAACCCTAGACCCACTTCAATTCGTATACGACAGATTTTGGGAGCTGACACTATCATAGTCCATGTGGGTTCAAACGACATCAGGAGGGCTAGCTCGGAACATCTGAAAATGGATTTGAAATAACTGATTTTATCATTGAAAGACTCCAAGAAACAGCCAATCATTTCAGGTCCAGTACCATCGTTGGGCTGCGGGTGTGAAAGATTCAGCAGGCTACTGGCATTACACATCTGGCTAAAAGATTACTGTAGCTCTGCTGGAATCACTTTTATAGATAACTTTGACACCTTCTGGAAACAGAAGATACTCTACAGGAATGACGGAGTCCATCCAAATCATCTTGTGTCCTGGACTCTGTCCATGTATTTCAAGGCTGCGTTGAAACAATGACTTATCAATGACCCAAGACCAGCTCAGTTAATCCCTACCATTGTGACAATGAGTCGTCATAATGCTGCATCAAATGTACATTATCCTAGGGGCGTTGGCAGAGACAATGTAAGTAACTTAATTTGTCCCCCTAATTGCCCTGAATACCTCTGTTGATCCTACAGCTATTGGATGCAGTAACCATGAGCCTATGAACCAGAGTTACACTGTTTGCACTGAGGTGATGTGCCCCAGTAGGAAGACCATTGTGTGCAGCTCACCCTGCACTATCAGCTCCAATATAAATAACATGAGCAAGTCTACTTCTGATAATGAAAGCATTAAAAACAATCAAGCAACCCAGAAAAGTGCTAAAAATAGCCCATATTAACATATGCAGCCTGAGAAAGAAGGTCCATGAGGTCAATAACTTACTTGTAACAGATGATATTCATATTCTGACTATCTCTGAAACTCACTTAGATAATACCTTTGATGATAGTGGTAGCAATACATGGTTATAACATCTACCGAAAAGACAGAAATGCCAACGGGGGCGGTGTTGCGGTCTATATTCAGAACCACATTCATTAAAGCTTAGAGACGATCTCATGTTGAAGTAATATGGCTACAGGTTCATCTGCCTCACCTAAAGCCCATTCTTGTGGGAAGCTGCTATAGACCACCAAGTGCTAACAGTCAGTATCTGGATAATATGTCTGAAATGCTTGATAATGTATGTGATAGAGAGATGTATATTTTCTAGGTGATTTAAATATTGACTGGCTCTCATCAAGCTGCCCACTCAAGGAAAAACTTCAAACTGTAACCAGTACCTGCAACCTGGTTCAGGTTGTCAGTCAACCTACCAGGGTATTTACAAACAGCACAGGAATTAAATCAACATGTATTGATCACATCTTTACTAATTCTGACAAAATTTGCTTTAAAGCAGTATCCACATCCATAGGATGTAGTGATCACAATATAGTGTACAGTGGGGAAAAAAGGATTTAGTCAGCCACCAATTGTGCAAGTTCTCCCACTTAAAAAGATGAGGCCTGTAATTTTCATCATAGGTACACATCAACTATGACAGACAAATTGAGAAAAGAAAATCCAGAAAATCACATTGTAGGATTTTTAATGAATTTATTTGCAAATTATGGTGGAAAATAAGTATTTGGTCACCTACAAACAAGCAAGATTTCTGGCTCTCACAGACCTGTAACTTCTTCTTTAAGAGGCTCCTCTGTCCTCCACTCGTTACCTGTATTAATGGCACCTGTTTGAACTTGTTATCAGTATAAAAGACACCTGTCCACAACCTCAAACAGTCACACTCCAAACTCCACTATAGCCAAGACCAAAGAGCTGTCAAAGGACACCAGAAACAAAATTGTAGACCTGCACCAGGCTGGGAAGACTGAATCTGCAATAGGTAAGCAGCTTGGTTTGAAGAAATCAACTGTGGGAGCAATTATTAGGAAATGGAAGACATACAAGACCACTGATAATCTCCCTCGATCTGGGGCTCCACACAAGATCTCACCCCGTGGGGTCAAAATGATCACAAGAACGGTGAGCAAAAATCCCAGAACCACACGGGGGGACCTAGTGAATGACCTGCAGAGAGCTGGGACCAAAGTAACAAAGCCTACCATCAGTAACACACTACACCGCCAGGGACTCAAATCCTGCAGTGTCAGACGTGTCCCCCTGCTTAAGCCAGTACATGTCCAGGCCCGTCTGAAGTTTGCTAGAGTGCATTTGGATGATCCAGAAGAGGATTGGGAGAATGTCATGTGGTCAGATGAAACCAAAATAGAACTTTTTGGTCAAAACTCAACTCGTCGTGTTTGGAGGACAAAGAATGCTGAGTTGCATCCAAAGAACACCATACCTACTGTGAAGCATGGGGGTGGAAACATCATGCTTTGGGGCTGTTTTTCTGCAAAGGGACCAGGACGACTGATCGGTGTAAAGGAAAGAATGAATGGGGCCATGTATCGTGAGATTTTGAGTGAAAACCTCCTTCCATCAGCAAGGGCATTGAAGATGAAACGTGGCTGGGTCTTTCAGCATGACAATGATCCCAAACACACCGCCCGGGCAACGAAGGAGTGACTTCGTAAGAAGCATTTCAAGATCCTGGAGTGGCCTAGCCAGTCTCCAGATCTCAACCCCATAGAAGATCTTTGGAGGGAGTTGAAAGTCCTTGTTGCCCAGCGACAGCCCCAAAACATCACTGCTCTAGAGGAGATCTGCATGGAGGAATGGGCCAAAATACCAGCAACAGTGTGTGAAAACCTTGTGAAGACTTACAGAAAACGTTTGACCTGTGTCATTGCCAACAAAGGGTATATAACAAAGTATTGAGAAACTTTTGTTATTGACCAAATACTTATTTTCCACCATAATTTGCAAATAAATTCATTAAAAATCCTACAATGTGATTTTCAGGAGAAAAAAAATCTCATTTTGTCTGTCATAGTTGACGTGTACCTATGATGAAAATTACAGGCCTCTCTCATCTTTTTAAGTGGGAGAACTTGCACAATTGGTGGCTGACTAAATACTTTTTTCCCCCACTGTATGGCAAATAGAAATCCTATATGGATGGTGTTAAGAGATAGATGGGTGGTGTTGAATGGAGTTGAAGGATGGGACTAATAACAACTAACAACAAATAATAACAAGATAACTAATAATGTAAGCATACTGTGTCCATAATAAGTATATAGGTTGTAGGTTGGGAGCTTTTGTGAAAGAGCACAGTTAGAAAGATATGGCATATAGAAGCAAACCGGATGGACATCATGAAAATGATATATATATTTGTGAGAGAAAAAAAAACATATGGGGGATTGGAAATGATGCAGACAATTACATTGATGGAAGTTACAATCTATCTGCAATATTAAAGCTGATCTACCCCCTAAAAAAATTAATAATAATAATACTAAATAGGGGAAAAGGAAAATTACCCTGCCAACTATTAGCCCTCACAACAAAAATAATATATTTACAGTACCAGTCAAAAGTTTGGACACACCTACTCATTCAATGGTTTTTCTTTATTTTTACTATTTTCTACATTGTAGAATAATAGTGAAGATATCAAAACTATGCAATAACACATATGGAATCATGTAGTAACCAAAAAAGTGTTAAACAAATCAAAATATATCTTATATTTGAATTCTTCAAAGTAGCCACCCTTTGCCTTGATGACAGCTTTGCACACTCTTGGCATTCTCTCAATCAGCTTCACCTGGAATGCTTTTCCAACAGTCTTGAAGGAGTTCCCACATTTGCTGCGCACTTGTTGGCTGCTTTTCCTTCACTCTGCAGTCCAACACATCCCGAACCATCTCAATTGGGTTGAGGTCGGGTGATTGTGGAGGCCAGGTCATCTGATGCAGCACTCCATCACTCTCCTTCTTGGTCAAATAGCCCTTACACAGCCTGGAGGTGTGTTTTGGGTCATTGTCCTGTTGAAAAACAAATGATAGTCCCACTAAGCGCAAACCAGATGGGATGGCGTATTGCTGCAGAATGCTGTGGTAGCCATGCTGGTTAAGTGTGCCTTGAATTCTAAATAAATCACAGACAATGTCACCAGCGAAGCACCCCCACACCATCACACCTCCTCTATGCTTCATGTTGGGAACCACACATGCGGAGATCATCCGTTCACCTACTCTGCGCCATTAGACCAGTGGAAATGTGTCCTTTGGTCTGGAGTCCAAATTTGAGATTTTTGGTTCCAACCGCCGTGTCTTTGTGAGGCTGATAAATCAGGACGCTGCCTTGTAGGCTTTTTCATGTGTAAGGCTCCTTGCAGACAGCCTACAAGGTAGCATCCTGACTTATCAGCCTCTGAGGCTGCTATTGAATCTGATTAGCCTGCCAGGAATAGAACGCACCCAGTCTTGATCATATACATAATGCACTGACTGCTAATCTGCCTGCAAGGAGCTTTACCTATGAAACAGCCTACAAGGCAGAATCCTGACTTATCA